AAAAACGTCTCGCCTGTGGCTGACTTTGCATGAATGGGGAAATCCCCAAACCTATCCTCGCGGTCGCCTGCTGTGTGAAAACCAATAGGAACCAACGAAGACCAACTGCTGGCAACATCTGGCAACTGGCACTACTGCTGCGGGAACTGGGATTCGCTGGGTTGGTTTTTTGGAAGCCACATCGACCCATTGTTGTCACCCGACCGTAGTGTCAAAACACGGACCGTGGGGGAGGTGAGTATGTGATGTGATGAGATCTAGCAACGAAATGTTGTTTTTTGAAACTCCGAGTTCAGGCAGTGTCAAGTATTCCGATTTGTTTTTCATGAGGAGGGCACGTTGCATTTTTTGTGACAGGACCCTGCCGTGGAAAATAGGACCCGTCAGTTCGAGGCATGAACCAGCCTTGTTCTGCCGCCGCACCGTCTGAGTTTGCCCTTCTCTTTGCAAAACAACAAATACTCTATTTGGAGTGATCCCTACCCCGGAAGGCGATTTGGAAGAAGGCGGGGCAGATGTATTGACAGACTAGCCTGACAAAGGCAGGCATGCAAATTGACACAACGTTCTGGAGCTTGTTCTGGCATCAGTCTGTGCTCTGACACATCATATACCATAAAGGCTGGGGCTTGTTCCGGACTCTGGACTGTGTTCTGACGTCCTTGATGGATCTTGATGGCATGTGTTCTGCATTTTTCTTGCTTGACATGTGATGTGACATATGGCCCAAGGACCGACTTTGTTCCTGGTATGCGCTCTGACGTTCTTCCATCAAAGGAAGTGTCCGCCCTGCAAAAAATATGGCATTATCACTGGTATATACTCGGGCACTCTATCTGGCATATATACTCTGGCACTCTATCTGGCATGAGTTCTTCCATTCTATCTGGCAACAATTCTGGCACATGCAGTCTATCTGGATCTGTCTGGCATACATTCTGGCATTCCAATGGTGCCCACTGCGATCTGGCAATTGCTGCTGCGGTCCGGTGGTGCCCACTGAAATGTGGCGCTTGCTGTGGAGGATTTTGGGAGTTTGCTGTTGAGGTTCAGTAGTGCCGTGCCCACTGCGATCTGGCGCTTGCTCTGGAGGTCCGATAGTGCCCACTGCGATCTGGAGCTTGCAGTTGAGGTTCAGGAGTGCCCACTGTGATCTGGAACTGGCAGTTAAGGAAGTGCGAGAAACACAAAGACAAAGACAAAGGATGAGGCGGGATCCTCTTCTAAAATCTAACAACCCTCATCTGACAAGTGGGGAAAAACAACATTAACATGAGCCCCTTACCAGGACCTGTTGGAAGGTCCTGGTATGGGTGTGAAGTGGATAGAACACACGGGACATGACTATCAAATTGTGGCTGGGCTGACTTCTCCTTGCAATCAAAGTGAATCACCTCAAAGTTATGGAAGCGGAGGCTCGGGTCAAAGGTCACGATTTCCGTTGGTGCTTTGCTTGTGTGAGAATTACACTCATGTGGGGATGCCAGGTTTGTTGTGCAAAGTATTGGTCTATCATCTGCTGTTTCGGCATAGCAGCATAGCATCGGCTTGCCGGAATCCCAGCGCAAGTAAAGCTAGATTACATCAATTTGTCTGGTAGGTGGTTTCCAACTCACTTGAACATATGAGTCAGTGGGTTCAACCATCCCAAGTAAAGTTTGAACATAAATATATATCTTGGGTCTATCCTAATACCTGCAACAGCAGATGATGGTGGTTAGTAAAAGCCTTGTTCAAACATTATGATTTGTTTGTTTACTGACTGTTACAGGTAGCAGAAAACCCCAAAATATATCATATCTGAAACCAAGATCCCTGTGTTTTCGGCTGGACGCAGATCGTCTCCGCACGGCCAAGGTACGGTAGCCACGCAGTCGTACCAGACTCAAGCTGCGCACACACAGTATGGGGAGGTCCAGGCAGGTAGCTGCTAACTACTTAACTAGGTCCGCCGTGCGTAGATGGCCGTGGTGTTTTGTGGCCAGTTGAATGAGTTGCAGAACGTCTTTTTATTGAAATTCCATTGGGGCTAGGGTTTGTGGATATATCGCAAGTACGAAGTCCAGTTATTCTTGGTTCGGACAAACTACTTTGCGCCCGTTTGTCCGCACCCCGTGCGTCAGAACAAGGCACTAACCTGTACAAGTACCTCGTCAGCGGCAAGACTTCGTATCATGTGCGCCCGCCACACCCATTGGTACAGCAGTGCTTCGATTTTTTGGATTCAAAGCACTTCTTCCATCCTTCTTCACATTTCTGTTGAGGCTGGAGGGGATATATTGCTTGAGCGCAAGCCACCATCGATCCATGCATTGAGTTCCTCCAAGGTTCGATAATCCTGGAGATGTGCGATCCACAGGTTGTGCAAACTCAATATTTTGGTGACACACTTGCCGATGTTGAAGACCAAGACGCTTGCTTTCTGCTGACCAAGCTCGATTGCGATGGAAGTGACAGCAGCTTTTGCCTTTGCGTCGATCGACTTTATTCAGAAGCCCGCTGCTTTGCACTTGCTTTTTGGACTCTGTAAGAGGCCTTGCACCTGGTTTTGTCACCCTGCAATCAGGGCCCCACACGATGGGGGCACGTGCTCTTTCCACAGCAACCAAAACCATGACATGCACAGGATACGCCTTCGGCAAGTCGATCGCCATCAGACATGCGAACCAAAACTGCAACGTACTTATGCGTGCCACATAAACACAAACTGTTACCCCATGCACACATGACAGCATGTGAACGCATGTGAAGGTAAAAAAAGGTAACAGCGCCACGTCAACAAGCCTGTCACATAAAGATACGTCATTATCGCCTCACCCCCCCCCCAACCCCCCCATGAACGCATGTGAAAGCATGCATGTGATCGCATGTGAACGCATAGAAAAGTTTTTGAAAAAAAGGACAAGCGCCATGTGTACAATCATGTCACATACACATACGTCATTACCGCCCCACCCCACCCCCCCCCCCCCCCCCCCCCACCCCCCCATGAACGCATGTGAAAGCATGCATGTGAACGCATGTGAAGTTAAAAAAAGCCTGAAACGCACGGCCCCTTACAGGCGCCGATACCAAAAACATGCACAATACCACAGAAAAACGCTCCTTGCCAATTCAACCCTCTCCCTAGTGGCCCCGCGGACACACAAAAAGTGCTGTAAATACCACACGGACGGACTTCGCAAAAAAGTGCTCCAAAAAATGCCCCGGCCGTCTACGCCCGCCCAGCCAATTACTTAATTACTTACATCCTCTTGACAAATCCAAATCAGTCAAAAGCAGGTCCAGGAAGACTATTAGTCTCCACTACAAACAGGGGTTGGTTCACGCCCAGGGTTCCGACCGAGGGTAACTCTGCTGTTGTTCCCTCTGCTCGTCCTCGTCATCGCTCAACGCATGCGGGGGGCCATGGGTGCCTCCTGGCAAAATGTGAGGGGGCACAGTATGGTTGCGTTAATTTCACTTGTGGCACTTTCACAAGTGGTTGGGCTTCCAACAAGTAATGAGTTTCACTCTTGCAACCGACATCACCACACCCGATGTTCCAAAGGCAGATTTACAGTAATCAGATTTACATGGCAGTTTGAATGTTCAGAAAGTTGCCAAGTTCTGCCAAAATCTGCCAAAAAGGCATCTTTTCAGAACAACCAGGCGCTTTCCCCACATACTCTCGGAGGTTCCTTGTTCTTTATGCCCGGTGTATTCTCCGTTCTGCGGATGCTGAGCATCGCTCTCGGATGCTGAACATCGCTCCTGTTTTTGGAAATGTTCCCCTCAGAAAGAAAATATCCACATCACAAGTTCTAGTGCTCTCTTTTGGTCGCATAAGCTGTCTTCCCCTCTTGGTTGCGTTGCAACTTCTTTTGTTGGGAGAATAGAACAACTCATAAAACAAGCAAGCCACTTCAAGTAGTCAAGGAATGTCAAGTATCCGTATCCGTTTAGTCTGGCATGATGTAGAGCCCAAAACGTGCCACCAGAACCTTGCCAAGGTTTACACGGTTTATTGACAAAAGAGACCGTCTTCAAAAAGAGGGCCGAATAAATATTAAAAGCAAAAAACACCACCAGGACGGATGTTCTCAGGATTGAATGCTTCGCCTGTGTCGGGCGTAGGTTATCACACGTCCCTAACACGAATAACGTGTGTAACGGTGTGGTGTACAATACCCACCAGAACGACGACTGGGGTTTTCAGGGTTTCCATCGTCTTCATGTGTTGTTGCCCTCTGTTGTTGAATCGTTCGGGAATGCAGCCCGCTTGGAGCCCATCAAGACTTGCAGTTGAGGTGTGGATGCCATTTAAAACCTTGGAAACCTTGAATTGCAATTAACTAATTAACCTTGAATCGGTTATATAAGTTATATATATTTATTTATATACCCTAAAAGTCCAGGACTATTTTAAAAATAGTCTTTGGGAATTTGGGAAACGATCATATATATATATACATATGCAAGCCGCTGGAAACGACTGGTTTTGGGTGCTGGACACTACCTCCAGGACTCGCACGGCACGGAGCTTCAACTGGCACTTCGACCGCCATCTCCAGGCTTTTCTCAGCGTCGGCCTCATCGGTGCTGGCGTCGGTGCTGGTCGTCTGACTCTCATCCGTGTTGCTGATGGTATCGCGGTCGGAGTCCTGAACCAGCCGTGTTGGACCAAAAGGCTTACACTCCTTGAAAAGAGGATGGCACAGCCTTTTGTTGGATGACCATGAAATCCGAAGACCAAGCAGGTGGTGCCATCCACGTAACCATTTTTGTTTCAGCCAAGAATTCCCAAAGCACGTTTTAGAGCCCAAGCTAAGCAAGTGAGTCACTAACTAACTGTTAGTATCTGTTAGTGGATGCTCAGCTAGGGCACCACTGATGATATTAAAGTTCAAGTTCAGTTGGTCCATTAGACTGTATATAAACACGGTCAAACACGGATAGACTGTAGATCAAAGTGCTGACTCATGTTACTAGCTGTTCACTTGCCGTCACATTAACGATTAGCGGATAACAAGGAAGGCACCCCAACCTTTTGTGGAGATCTGTGGATGATTGTGGATGTCTTGCAGTTCTGAGTATTCGAGGATCCAAATTTGATTGTTCTTGTTCAATTTCTCCCCAAAGCTGCAACCACAAAGTAATTGGCGACACGGGCGGGGGATGATTGAATTGAATGTTCACCAACGGTTTGGCTAAGAAACACCAAACTGTTCCTTTCAAAATCAGGGGGGTCCTGTGCAGGAGTACTGGAACTCGGCGACACCACCCTATATTGATCAAACATCTACTATCTACCACGCACAGGCAAAAGCATTACCACAAATTTATGAATGCAGCGCTGAGACATGTTTCTCGGCATGTTTTGTGGCGGAGGAGACTCAATCACCCTCCATCACCCTCGACGGCTTCCATGGTGAGATCAACGATATCCCTGTGTTGTTGATTATGATTATACAGGCACTTCAGTGGAAGTGGAACACCAACTATTTGATCATATTTGTAGAGGAAAACCGTCATCCAAGGAACCATTTTCCATATGATTCATTTCAGGGACTGTGATCTCATCAAAAAGCTCGGTGGTTGACGACTCGTGCTCTTCGCCCCACGCCGCCACGGCCAGCCAACGCCCAACTGCTCAAGCTCTTCGCCCCACGAGCCGTTCCGGGACCCGGTCCCCAAAGCAAGCGCGGCGGCGGGCGCGGTGGCCCGTGCTGCGGTAGATGAGGAACTCCTTGGTGGCCCGCGCTGCGGCGGATGGCCCCCCCCAAGACGGGCCAACCAGCTTTTGACACCCACTTCGGTGGAAAAAAACACTTCTGTGGGCAGAACAGTGTTCGCTCACTTCATGTTCTGCACCTCAAAAGCCAGGGCGCGTGTAAATCCAATGTTTGACAGCAGGATCGAAAGCCACTGTTGAGCAAGCTCAGCAGTAGAAGCGGCGATAAGATCACGCTGGAGGTCAACATGTCGCGAAACCTGGGTGCTCGATGGTGCTAAGCCCATTGTCCCCATATTGGTTTCTTTGTTTTTTTGTGAACAAGCGTGTTTGTCCGCAAAACTTGGTCAACACCCTTGGGGTGTTTGGGGTGTTCGGATAACCGAATGGTGCCCAGGTGGATTGGAAGAACCAATTGTAAAAAGGCATTCCAAGGATCCTGGTCTAATATAATGAAAATATATGAAAATGATCTAGCAACCAGCTACGCAACCCAACTTGCCCTCAAAAAATGCACCCTTTTAAGGCCCTGAAACGTGCGACCAACAAATTTCAGATGCTGGGCCGACGGGTTTGGCGCGGATGACCGGTGGGGGCGGCAGTGAGGGGAACACGTCGCGACGTAGTGTGCGCAACACCTGAGACATGGCCATGGGTGGTGGAGGCCATTTAACTCAAGAACATGATTGGGAACGGATCTTCCCCAAATGGAAACTTGGCAAAGCAAAGTTTCAATAAAGGCAGGTTGTTTTGGTGGATGCACCCAGATTCTGAGACCTAAAGAGCCAAAAAACTTTCGGGGATGTCTCAACACCGCTCTCCATGAGTTGGCCACAACCGCGGGGTTGAAAGGATTTGAAAGGACCTCGTTGCATCACCGAGCTAAGCAGTGGGGTCGTTCAGGCAAGCAGAAAACCAACGCCGTTTCGCATTCACTGAGCTGCATTCGGTTCGTCAGGATCCAAAAGTAGAGGGCCTCACAAGCAGCGAAAATCAAACACTTTCATTGAAGGTACGAAGCCTTGTGGTGGTACTTGCGCAAATGCAGGGGGCGTTGCACAAATTCCTTTCCTTGAACCCCAAAAAGATGAAACCATGATAAAACATGTATATGCAGTGAAAGGCAAGCTCCAAATATCGAAGGTTCATCGGCTTACGATACCATGTCTTGGATTTCTGTTCTTCGACCTCCCACTTCGCTACTTCTGTCGGCGCATCGCCTAGTAGTTAAAGTAAGGGGTTCATGTATACATGCAAGACACTCCCACGATGGAGCGCCTGAAAAACACACCCACACACACTCACTCCCACCTGTAGACCTCTTTCTCGTCCACAGCAGCCCTTGGCACACCGCGATCGCATCAGACCTGACCGTCACGCCGCGTGTGTTCTTCTGCACGGAATGAGAGTATCAACAGCTCCACCACCAGCGCCTGGGAAAGAAGTTGCCAGACTTCTTAAGAGTCTTGAAAAAACATTCTAGAATAAGAATCAATAAGAATATTCTTACTTCTTAAGAGAAATTTACCACCAACCAGTTCTATGGCAGCATGGTCAGTGTCACAGCAGGTCGCCGTTTATCATTGTTGATCTGCTGCGATTCGCCGAATTCCAAAGCACGGAGGACTTCACCATTGGATCGGTAGAAACTGCCAGAGTAGCTGCGAGGCGGATCCGTTTATTCAGGAAACGAAGAATCCGTGCCCTCCGAAAGGGGTTTGCATCACCGAAAAGGGGTAGAATCTGGTGCAAGCCCTGCATCGCGCTGGGGATACAGGCAATGGGCGATGGTATGTGATTAAAGGCGTCTGCATCTGCGGCATCACCATCTGCCCCCGATCCATACTTAGGCAATTTCCCTTCTTCATCCTTCTTCCACCATCTTCCACCTGCTCTTGTTTTGTGCTGCAACAACATCACCCCGGCTGCTGATCTCTTGCAGTTTTCCTCTATCTCTTGACGGGATTCCAGCAACTGGACGGGATGAGAACAAGAATTTCGAACGCTTGACAGCGAAAAAAGAAATCCTGCCAGCTTTACAAACAAAAGGAATATATATATATATATATTATATATATATCGGTCAATGTTTGGGCTCCCTCGAAGTCGCTAGCTGCTAGAATCAACCTCTGGCGCATCCACGACCAAGGCTTTTTTCCTGCTCATATTCTTGAGTTGGGGGCAATCAGCATATACCTCATATACCTCTGCACATCATGCGAAAGCTGCTAGTCAGAGGGGCAGTGTTTGGTAGACCTGCTTCCAGTGCCCTGGGCTTCGTTTTGGGAAGCCTCATCTCCAATGCGAGAAGTGCCCTGGGTCTTTCCAATCTGCAAACACGACACTGAAAGAGACCTCGACAACCAAAAAACCTGCAAGTTCAAGTCATAGTCATGTGACGCAAGTGACTTTAGTTGATCCATGTTGATCCCTACCCCCTCAACCACTCTGGAACGATCGATTATTGTTTACTTGGAGCGGCTTGTGGAGCCCCAACTACGCTTAAAAAGGAGAAACAAACGTCGCAAAACTCCAGGGCCGCAGGGCCTCTATGTCATATCATGTCCATTTTTGTCGCAGCTGCCCACGTGTCACGACATCTGAACGGAGAACCCGTGGGCCGCGGCCAGGCGGTCCATCGACTGGGGGAGGTCAGAACAGTGCCCCTTCGGTTTGGTGAAGGAAGTCGGCCACTGAATGGACGACACCGAGTCGGTGTCAACGTCTTCCGCCCCACAAGTGTGCGGAGCATGGCAAAGCATGGCTGACAAGCTACAGATCACCAGATCGAAGAGCTACAGAAATCCAACCACCCCTACTATATAGTACCGTCAGTCTATCATCATCTATCACCCTCCCAGGCAGAATGTTTCACCAGGTGTGTGGATGAGATTGGATGACCCCAGCTCATCCCACACCAATCGCCCGCGTTCTGCCATCACGTCATCGCCTTCGGCGAGGAAGATCGTCACCTCTAAGAGCAAATACTTCAGGATCAGCCTCAGAACGACACAGCCGAGCAAATGCTAAACATCGACTATACATTGACACGTTAACCTGGACATAGATGCTGGAAACACCTAATGTTCGAAATACAGGTTCGAACTGGATATCTTTGGAGGGTACAAACCTCCAGTACCGAATTCCGCTCCCCAGCACCAGTACAAACTGTCAAAATCTCAGGGGTAAGCCGATCTTCTTGGGCCTCTTGGGGCCCTTGGTCCCTCAATTCTCTGGTTGAGTTAAGAACTTCTTGATGTTTTAATCTCAATGGCTGCTCCCCCAGCTCCATCAATCCCCCAGTTCCACCGACTGCCTATCCCCGAGCCGAGGCTGAACACCTGCACAGTTCCCAGTTTCCTCCGCAGTTCCCTGGCTTCAACACATTGCAACAGATCTGGAACACTTTTCATATTGAGGTCTCATGACCACCACTTCATGACCTACCAAGGAGATAGCAGTATTCATAGGCTTGGTGCCAGCGTTGGAACCCATTGCAATACATCGGCCTCCAAAACTCTCTAAACGCGCAGGGCGCAGCGAACAAAAACAAAAAAACAAAGGCGCTGCCCCGTCTCTGCGGCTCTGTGGCCCCGCCAGGAAATCCTTCCAGCGCTGCATCCGTCGCAAGATCTCCAGTGCAGCCAAGGCCTCAAAGACCTCCAAGGCCACCACGAGGAAGGCGAAGAACGGGACCAACGGACGCCTGAAACGACGGTGGCGAGAGAACGGCATCTTGGACGGGATGAATTCTCTCTGGAGGGGGAGACCACTCATTCTGATGAAAACAAAGTGAACACTAACATAAACCATCTGGCTGAATTGTAATAGTGCGTAGGTCGAACCATAAACCTGAAGTTCCAAGTCTTTGGTGATTGAACACACACCATATACTGTAAGTCACGTGACTGTCTGCTGGCAACTAGTGGGATATGATAAGTACTGTACATGTGTGCGCCTGCCTCATGGGGTGAAGCAACAAGGCTGCACTGGTGGGGTCAATGGGTCTCGGGATCTGTGAAGTAAAACAGGTGCTGCCGCAGGCACAAGACATCCCAAGTTGATTCTCCCTGAGCATGGCAGCAGCGTCTCCTGTGGTGCTCTCCACGGTCACGCACGCTGCAGGATGGAAGGATGATGGAGGATTCCAAAAAATGAGTCAACACTTGCCGTTCGTTCAGAATTCAAGGTGCTGCTCTTCAGACACCCTGACCACAACTTACAGAGCCCAAATGACCATGTTTGCACTGCAACATTCCTTAAAACCATTTCAATTTGCAACATAGCACCTAGTGTCTGGACCGACAATGAGTGTCTAATGGAGATGCAGCGATGGCGATGCAAACGAGGGGATCCGACACGATGACCCAAATCACAGTTCTGTCTTAGTATTGAATAGAGAGAGAGAGAGAGAGATTACACAAAAAGACACCAACATCTTTGGTCTCCCATCACAACAGTCACATATATATTATATATATATATATCAATTAAAATTATATATATATTATATATAGTATCTTTAATTTGCTCAGTCACAAACACAACCGCTCTACATAGGGGAACCCTTTTTTTTAACCCCCCAACCTCTTTTTTTTAACCTCCACCCTTTTTTTCAACCCCCCGACCCTGTTTTTTAACCCCCAACCTCTTTTTTCTAGCCCCAACCTCTCTTTTTTAACCCCCCAACCTCTCTTTTTTAACCCCCCAACCTTGCTTTTCTAAACCCCCGACATCCCCCGACCTTTCTTTTTTAACCTCCAACCTCTGTTGGACACCCGGCCCTTATTTTTTGAGAGCTGGAGGGGGGGTTGTCGTTTTCGTTCTCGTTGTCGTTGTGGTTGCTGTGGTCGTCGTTGTCGTTGTCGTTGTGGTTGTGGTTGTGGTTGTGGTTGTGGTTGTGGTTGTTGTTGTTGTTGTTGTTGTTGTTGTTGTTGTTGGGGGGCTCGGGGGGGGCGCAGCGCGCTGCTGGTGTTGTTGTTGTTGTCGTTGGATTTGTTGTTGCTGTTGATGTTGTTGATGTTTTTGTTGCTGTTCAACACGTGTGCAGGCGTCAGGGGGACTGCTTGAAAACAAAGAAAGCCGGAGGAGGGCTCGGGGGGAGGGCGCAGCGCCCCCCCCGAAGTCAAGCAAAGGTACTTGCTTCGCTTGTTGTTTTTGGATTTGTTGTTGCTGCTGCTGCTGCTGTTGTTGTTGTTGGGTTTGTTGTGAGGTGTCGTCCAGCACAAGAAGACAAATCTAGGTGAGACAAGGCAAGTCACTCCGCTTGACGAAGACGTGCGGACTGTTTGAAAACAAAGAAAGCTGGAGGGGGGCTCGGGGGGAGGGCGCAGCGCCTCCCCCCAAAGTCAAGCAAAGGTACTTGCTTCGCTTGTTGTTGTTGTTGCTGTTGTTGTTGTTGGATTTGTTGTTGCTGCTGCTGCTGGTGTTGTTGTTGTTGTTGTTGTTGGATTTGTTGTTGGATTTCTTGTTGTTCTTGCTGTTGTTGTTGTTGCTGTTCAACACGCGCGCAGGCGTCAGGGGGACTGTTTGAAAACAAATAAAGCTGGAGGGGGGCTCGGGGGGAGCGCCTCCCCCCCGAAGTCAAGCAAAGGTACTTGCTTCACTTGTCGTTGTTGGATTTATTGTTGCTGCTGTTGTTGTTGTGGTGGTTGAGCAAGTACCTTTGCTTTGAATTCGGGGGGAGGCGCTGCTGTCTCTTTTTCACACACTCCGCTTGACGATTGCGCACGTGTTCCACAACTTGGGGGGAGGGCGCAGCGTTTTTTTCAAGTCAAACTCGAGTGGAAGTGACGAAAGGAGGCGCTTGACAGCTGCAGTTTCGGAGGGGTAGGTATCTACAGGCGCGCGCGCCTCCCCATGCACATAGTACAGAAAAGGTTAGTGGATGGAGGTGTCGTCCAGCACAAGATGACAAATCTAGGTGAGACAAGGCAAGTCACTCCGCTTGACGAACACGCGCGGACTGTTTGAAAACAAAGAAAGCTGGAGGGGGGCTCGGGGGGAGGGCGCAGCGCCTCCCCCCAAAGTCAAGCAAAGGTACTTGCTTCGCTTGTTGTTGTTGTTGTTGTTGGATTTGTTGTTGCTGCTGCTGCTGCTGGTGTTGTTGTTGTTGTTGTTGGATTTGTTGTTGGATTTCTTAAGCTTTTCCACCTGCTGCTGATGGTTGCGCCTGCCGCTGCAATGCGCTGGGCAGCCTTCGGCCGCTGGGGCAGCTGATGAGATGATGCTGATAGATGGCAGACGGCCAAGTGAGAGCGGACTTGCTTTTTTTGTTCGGCCCTCCTTAGTTTTGATGAAGGGTGAATGTCACTCACTTCACCGATTGACCTTTTTGATGCTTGGCCTCAACACTGTTGATTTTGACCGAGCTTTCCTCCACCTTAGACCTTTTGGATGTTGAGGGTACTCCCAGCCGCTTGGAACGGCTGATTACCTCCATCCATGCCCATGCCTCAATACAGAAACGATCTCCAACAGGAGTCCGGCCTATGGCCGCAGGGCGGCGCTTCTCATCCGAGTGCGTGTGAAAGAAAGAAAAGTTGGATTTCTTGTTGTTCTTGCTGTTGTTGTTGTTGTTGCTGTTCAACACGCGCGCAGGCGTCGCCCCCATGCATACAGAAAAGGTTAGTGGACGGAGGTGTCGTCCAGCACAAGATGACAAATCTGGGTGAGACAAGGCAAGTCTTCCAGTTTCGGAGGGGTAGGTGTCTACAGGCGCGCTGCCGCTATGGAGCCGAGCCGCGCAACAGCGTGACACCCCCGCGTCATCACGGCAAGTGGGCTGGCGCAGCGTGCTGGGTGGGCGCTGTGTAAGTGGTCCGAGGGGCATAGGCACTCGCAGGCAAGGGTCAAGGGTTAAAAAAGCAAGGTCAGGGGTTAAAAAAGAAAGGTTGGGGGTTAGAAAAAAGTGCTCGGGGGTGAGAAAAAAAAGGGTCCGGGGGTTAAAAAAAAGAGGTCGGGGGGGTTAAAAAGAAAAGGTCTGAAGGGTTAAAAACAATTGTTTTGAAGGGGGTTACAAAAAAGGGTTGGGGGGTTAAAAAAAAGTGGTGGGTTAAAAAAAAGAGGTTGGGGTGTTAAAAAAAAGGGGAGCCCCTCTACATATGTCATGCCTCAGCCCAACGGCGGATCGCGCGGATCGCCGACACCGGATGCCGAAAAACCCACTCTCTCGCACTCTCCTGATGGATGACACCACACGGGTGATCTGTGAGACAAGGAAGCAAGAAATCCAGGATGTGAAGATGGGCGGCAGTAGGGTCACCGCAGCCACCTCGGCTCAGGATGATGTCTGTCAGAATCCAAGCCACCGGTGACTTCGTTGGATGGCTCGACCCTAAAACACAAACGCACGCAACAAATCCCAAAAAGTCCGGTTGTGTTTGTTGGACGATTTTTGTTCGTTCCCACTTAGTGTGGTACGCACCCCTTCCCACCACCGACGACCTAGAAAGGGAATGCGCTGAGATGGGCCACCGGTCAGAGTTGCCACATGTCGAAGGATAGATTTTGCGATTGTGGACGAAATCTGGACATCCAGAAAGATCCACCAGTGGATTGAACCCCCCAAGGCCTGGAGAGGATACACATGAACAAGTTCCTCAAACCGCAAACGTTGTGATGACATCAGTTTTTGATGCGGGGTTCCTTCAAGCGGTCTAAGGCGCCGAGGCAGGCGATTAGAAAATAAGGAATTCACCAATTGGTCCAGCTGGGCTACGAGATCTCCAGCACGCTATGTCCCCATGAAAACCGACGTCATATCGAAATGTGCGGTATCAATCACAAGACAAGAACAATTTTGACTTGGTCAAGTATGGAGTACCCAGGTGTTCCATGTATGGAATAATTTGGAACGACAATTACACACACTCTCTTTCTCTCTCTCTGACACAATCATGGAATCATGGAAGTGGGTCATGCCCCCCTTGGAAAAGGGGGTTGTCCACTTCCACTCTTGTTGCAGCTGAAACCACCCCAACTGATCGGTAAATACGCCAGCCATTATTATGCGAACATTGCAAAAGGCTCATTTCATCTTGCCATATTCCATGAAAGAACCCAGCCTCCTTCATGTAGGCTTGGGAGGAGAATATCACCTGCATCATGCTCACCTCGCCGGCAAACATTTCGGAAGGTTTTGGAAATGAGGCGAATGCGCGCATCGAATCCGTCAATATGCGCACTGCTGTAGACCATCACCTCAGACCACCACCACCACCACCACCACCACCATTCAAAATATTTAACAATTTGTTTGAGAACCAGTGCTGGAAATTACTTGCAGTTGTCACATGTCGTCACTTGGCTTCAATCAGCTCTAGGCCTCTTACAACATACCACCTCAACCACTGCCGCAAAAGCCAACGGTGGTCTGTAATACCGGGCTCTTCAAAAAATCAACCATCTACCTTTGACATATACTTGCCCTCTCCATGCCTTTAACGGACCCCCAACTTCAGTGTTGTGCGACATCTCTCCATGCTCAGGCCTTGAAAAAAAAAACTTTTTGCGTTCATGTCGCGGGCAAGTACATACCAACATTGGTGGGGGTTGAAAGAAGCTTTCTATGCCAGATTTGGACATGAGATGGGATGGCTGTTGCTTCACGAAGCCCGGGCCCGGAGAAAGAGGACGTACGACGGATATTTTCTGCGACGACTATGTCATGTCTACCGGAATTTCTGCGACGTCTGTGCGACAGGAATTTCTGCGACGACTGAGCGAGATGCAGCTTTGCACAACAAATTTGGTAAGTATGGTACTGAGGCAGCTTTCATGGCCATAGCCGGCTCACAATCTTTCTGGCCGGGTGCGCAACCTGCGATCACTGTCTCCGGAAGAGAGACGAGCTGTGTGCACTGCTTCAGCATCATATCCACATCGCCCTGCTGCATGCCTTTCTTGCCCTTTAGCTCCGTGATCTCGGTCAACAGTGTGGCGATCAAGACCGGGGGAGCCAGTCGCCGTCACTCTCCACACGAGAAGGCGGTGTTGGAAGAACCCAGTAACGAGATCCATCAGCCCACCACTTGAGTCCTTGCAGGACTTCATCCCGGTATGCCTGCCAGTCAACTTTGGAATGTCCATCATTCAAAGCTGTGGCCGTGCCCACACCAAGTTTGCTCTGAGATGCCATTCTGCTGTAGAATGTGGCGAGCACAAGCCACCCACTCTCCTTGGCCAGTGACCAGTGCAAGTTCCTTGGTCTCTGAACCTGTTCTCTTCAGCAAAGCCTTCCTTATCTGCTTCAATTCTCGTGCCTGCGTCGTCGACAGCTTCCTCTTCCTGCCACGCACTTCCGACAAGCCCCTTCTGTGCGACTGCCTCTTCACGGCACGTCTGACTGCTGTCAAATTTGGAGCAAGTACGCCTTGCCGAGTGCGAGCTGAACTTACCCAAGCAGCAATTTGGATCAAAAACATTCACCTTCAAAGGAGACAGTTTTTGGGACAGATTTTCAATGGGAAGGAGATTTGTGGCTTTACCACTTGGCTCGTAGATGGGGCCCTCATCTGGGGGGCCTTAGCCTGCAAATAGTTATTGCGAGGCGTATGACAGAAGTGCAACCTTCAAGCGGATAAAAACCGCCATCTACCTTTGACCCATTTTTGCCTTCTCCACGCCCTTAATGGACCCCCAACTTCAAAGTTGTGTGACATCCCTCCACACTGAGGCCTTCAAAAGAAGCAACCATTTTGATTTACGTATGTCTGTTTTCGGGGGAAGCACATATCAACATTGATGGGGGTTGTAAAGGGGGGTTTTGGACATGCCAGGCTTGGACATGTGATGGGATGGTCATCACCCATGACATCATGCACGCAAAAATAAAGGAAAACGTGCATAGATTCCGCATAATGAGATTGCAAGTGTGGAACTTCTAGTTGATTTGAAATAATGACAAACTTAGCCCACCCCTCAAAAACTTTCTTGAGTCAAACCGCATCCATCCATCAGTGGCAAACTAGCTAGACTGCTGGCAAGGTACAAGGTGGTGCTTTTGTGGTTCTCTGATTTCCGTTTGCTTTTGCTCAGGTCCAACAAATATTCTGGATAGTCGCAGGCGGCAGGAACACGACTTCAAGTTGACTCCAATGGAGTTTGGAAATGTTTGGAACATGTAATCTTGTACACTTGGGTCTTACTGTAGATCACTGAAATCAGTGATCTGTCAGCACGAACAAATCACATCGAATCATCAACTCGTTAACAACACAGAAGGGTGGAATCAGGGTCGACAGGGGACCAGATGTGGCTCACTGAGATTCAAACTGTTTGCGGCAAGGAGACCACACGCAGTCTGTGAAACTGTGCAAATGACTCAAAAAGCAAAAGAAACATGACTTCCTCACGCAACCCATGCGACAAATGACATGGACACGACTGGACGCTCCACGACGTAACAACGCTTGCCTCTGAAGACTTCATGAAAGAAGTCCTGCTCTCTGGCCCGGCAAACCCCTCCCTTCTTCCAGCAAGCCGTTCGCCTTGTGGTTCACCACAGCAAACCACACGGAGACCCCCAGAAAGAACTGAGCGGGCTCTCAGAGCTAGATTCGGTGAGGGCGGGCGATGGCCTCCACCTAGGAGCATAAGGAATCTAATAGCAATGGCCTCCAACCTACTAGCGATGGTTGATGCTGGATCTCTTGAATCCCTTCTCTGGAGTGAGAAAGACATGCCAACTTGTTTAAGATCGTGCAACCAGTAGTCCAGCATGTGGAGTTTGATCTGCACTCAGCCTTTGGGGTTGATAATTACTCCTCAAGGATCCTCAAGGTAGTCAAACAAACTGCTGGTCATTGAATGACCCTGTCTTGGTGAAACTGTGGCTGAAGGCTGAAGGAAACTACTTTCGAGGTAGACATCCTACCGCACCGCAGTCACACCCATATGGAGAGGTCCTTGTCAGAGAAAAAGTTGGTTTTCTGGGCAGCAAATCACTACCCCAAAACTGTACCAAAAGAAAAACAGGGTGCGGCGCAACCACGAGGTAATACTTTAATGAATATAAATAATCTTAAATTGAGTCCATTCACCTTCTTTTTTATCACCTTTGCCTTCATCTATCTCCGGTTCAATTGTTTTGCGCCGTCACTGTCGAGGGGCGACGAGGAAGTTGAAGTCCAGCATGGAGATGGAGAGTCCCGTTCGAGGCTTCAGTTGATACTCCTCTGCGAGATCGAGGATTTTTCTTGAACGACTTCGTTTGGTATATAAACACCTACACACCTGCTATTCTTTCAGCTGGAAGGTTAGTCAAGTTGATTTGAGGATTTTGATAGGCAACAGCGGAACACCGAAATCTGAGACACATTGCTGGGTAGCCGTTATTGTTGTTTTTTACTAGTGTTATTGTTATTTGTTTTGTATAATATGTACATATCACCCCACACACACACAAGTGATGTCTGCAAGGGTTTTAGACACACTGAAACGAGAAGCAACTACAGGAAACAAGTGTTTTTGCCAAAAACAAACGGAATATCAGGAAAAAGGCAGGTCAAAACGGATGTCAAAGACACATACAAAAACGTGTGACCAATTGAAGGGAATACATTGGCTATTGACCCCAACCATTCCTTTTTTGCACTGGGCCCGTTTACCGCCCTCACCAGGCACTCACTCGTCCCGGTCCTCGTACCAGCGGATCCATCCGGCGCCCCAATTCTTCCAAAAGAAGTGGCACAGGACACGCCTGGAGGGATGAGGTGGGCACAAAATGAGAGGCACACACACGTGTCGATCTATTGGTGTGTCTATTGGTGTGTCTATTTGCTTCGTCTTAAATCGTGAGTGTTTTTCGGAGGTGGAGAGAATGTGGAGGTCCTGCAGAACAACGTTCCAGCGAGGTGGAGAAAGGTTGCTTGACTTTCGGTATGAGTGGAAGCTGCCGGCGCCCAAGGCCCGCGATGGCCAAAGCAGATGTTGGTCGAGGTCCTTGTTTGATTGAGACTACTCGTCCAGTGCATGTGCATGGTGTTGCTGCTTGTTACAAAATGTTTTGGATCTGGGTAACCACCTTTCCTCTTTCTCAATCCTTATTATTTTAATTGTTTTCGTTAACATGGACCAGCAGTCGTCCTATTATAAGGAGATCATCTTACAGCTTGAGCAACAAACACTGACCAACATCCGCTTCTTCACATGCAAACACCCATCAAACAAAAGCAAACACACAAACACACATGCAAACACCGGCACATCTCCGGCTGTCCTGTCTTCCAAGATGTGGCGCCGAGCAAACTGATGTGGATTGAAAACAAAAGGGGCGTACAACCAAGAGATGATCGTGAGGCCAATACCTCACGGCGACTCGAGGCAGTGGGACCCTGGGACCCTCCAAAACAGTTTCAGTTCCCTACAAGTCAATGACCTCATTTTGGTGCAGTTGGTCATACAAAAGGAGGTAAAAGACAAGGTTTTACTGGATCTTTGGACTTGTAGGGGTTCTGGTCTCCAGAGCTTCCTCTTGTGATTTCGGCATCGAAGCTACCATCCCTGCGCTGCAAGCCGTGGAACATGGCAGGGTGTTATGGCGAAGCAACGAGGCGAAAAACTGCAGCATATTGAACATGTTGAATTTGGTCAGGAAGGCTAATTGGCAGTAACCACCAGTTTCCACCAACCATGACTCTAGCTTGCCACTCCAAATACCAGGTCGTCTTTTTGGCGTGTCCTTGGGTTCAACCTCTTCAACCTCGGCAGCAAATCTCGATTGGCCCGCAAACACTCTCCGTTTTCTACAGGAGAACCTGCAGTTCCCGGTTTCCGCCTACGGTTCAGAGTAGATGGCACAAGGGCCCCCAATGTCGGTGGTTTATATATGGACCCCCATATGTCTAAGACATCCTGGGGCACCCCCGCCATTTTCGAAAACCTCTGAAACCACTGTAAGTCTCAAGAACGCAAGAACTGCTGAGCCGTTTTTTTGTTGGATAAACCCTCAGCCGTTTCCGTAAAAGACGCGCGGCCCTCACGGCGCCGCTCCGCTTCCGCCCAGATACAGGCCCAGAGAGCCGAAAGTCCCCCGCCTCGGCGACGAGAAGCAGGCCCCGGACCGGGTCCGCTTCGACTGATCCTACGTAATTGAATAGTACAAATTTGTACCTACTTAAAGGCATCTTAAAGCCTACTTACTTATGTTGAAATTCAACATCCTTATTTAAAAAGAAGTAGGTTGTGAGTAACTTATAAGTATAGACAATAGAAGAAATGAGTAGTAGACATAGGTCAGTTATGTCAGACAGGAGTAGGAACCATGCATATTGTTTTTTTTGCTCAAGTTTTTTTTTGCAAACTGGGTCATTTCATTGAAAACAAAGGTTTCAAAGAGGTTAAGATTGAGAAGAACCGGTTGTTTTTTGATGTTTTTTGATGTTTGTTGTGTGACATAAACTCGCTTTGAGTTTGTTATTGCTAGATCTTGAGACACCAGGTGTGCTGCACAGTGTGAAAAACGTTTGCGGTGCTATGGGTTAAACATCATGCGGTGTGGCCGCATCTCATATGATGTTGCTCCGAACCGTCCTCGTTGGAAACGTGCAGCGCTTTTCACCACTTATCCCTGAACTATCTTTGAGGTATCTGTAAGATGTCTTTTGGATATCGATAAAATGTCGACAAACATGTTAGAGTTTTCTTATCAATATATCAATGAGATATCGATGATATCTATGGTTTTCCTCAAGATATCCATAAGATATATTTCAGATATCAATCAAATATTGAAAAGACATCTTTCGGAGATATCCATGGACCTCTGCTGAATATCTATTGATGTTTATCAATCGCTGCGAAGCATTTTGCAAGGCGGCATGCCCGAAATGTTCGAAGCAAACACACCGCTGGGAAACTTGTTTTTAGATGCACTGTAAAGAAAATCCCGAGTGATAATCACATAATTCATAATTGAAACTGTTCACTGGATTTACATCAATCTTTCAAATTCTGATCCTTTTTTGCTGCCCCTTTTTGCACACAAAGTCAGCATGTTAGTAAAAAAAGAACAGTCAGAAACAGCAAAGACCTCAAAGAAAGCAAACAAACTCGATGAAATAAGTAGACACAAGTAGACTTACCTTAATTACCATGTTTGATCTAGAACTTACACATGTCTACTTCTTATTTACTAAGTATAGGTTTTAGTACATACAAGTGGGTAGAAGTAGCTCAAAGTAGCATAAGTAGTTTCAGCGAATTAACCTACTTATCACATACTTAAAACCTACTTAAAACCATGTTAAAACCTACTTATAACTTATAACTATAGTATATACTGTACTAGTATTAACCAGTTATAACTAGCAGCGGACCTAGAGGATAGGTCCCATATCCTCAGGTTCGGGTGGGCACACCCCCCCAGCACAAAGAGACCCCCTGCCCCTGTCCCATCGCACCGAAAACGGAGTGGGCAGCCAGAGGAGATCCTAGAAGTCCAGTGAGACGAAGCCCTGCCAGCTGCGTGCAGCGCTGGCAAAATCGGTGCTTCCTAAAGGTCCAAGTGCCAGGCCTCCTATTTTTGGTCGGTCGTAGAATGAAGCTGGTTGCCATGGACATGGAACATCCATATACGCGGGGCGGACAAGGTACAGAAAAAAAAAAGAGAGCAACAACCCAGGTCAGAGAGTCCTCAACACCCCACTGCATGCACCCTGCTGTATTTACTTGTGCCCTTGCCTCTCGGGGCCGAAAAGGGCCAGTCATGACTGGCGGGCCATGACTGAACATGCACTCTTCCCACCAGAAGATGCAAATCTCTGAAGGTCAAGAGGCTCACAAGGTGAAACCCACTTGATCTCCAAGGAAGGAAATGAACACACCAACAATGGGAGATGCATTGAACCCGCCCCCAAATGCATCGAGCGGAGCTTGAGAGATGTTCAAGCATTGCTTTGTGCTTCATCGGACATGACGGCTCGGCCGTCAGCTGTCGGCTGTGACGCAGACGAAGACCCCCCGTCCGTTCAGTGTGCTGGCCCATCGCAGCGCCAAGCCAGTCAACAAGCATGTACATGTTGGATCTATCCTATTCCAAGGATGGCAGTCGCCTGGTCGCTTCAGAACGAATTCAATCCCAGCCGTTGTGGCCCAAATACCCCATGGTTAATCTCCCTGCCCAAATCTGTTAGGGACATTGAGTTGAACAAGACAAACAATGACTATGCATTAAAAAAAACACAAATCTACTCAACTGAAAAACCCTCTCACCTTTGGCCTGTCAGCGTTTCATCCTCGTTAATGCTTTACAGCGGTTCCAAGCTTTCTGACGTCCAACGACCTCGGCATTCCACGTCAAAGCAAGCGGCGATAGGGGTTGACAGGTTCCATGCCCCCCAGGCCACTCACCATGATCGAGGCGATGAGCAGCGTAAGGCCGTCGTAGAAAGCTTGGATTGCATAATCCAAGTATAGACCTCCCGTTCTCTCGGATTTGCAGTCGAAGCCAGGAAAATAATAACAAAACATCCTCCAGGTTGGGGGATTCACCCGGTTCGGAAGATAGAACATCATCCTGGATGCATGGTTTTGTCTGGTTTTTGTGCCGGCACGGCCTTGGATAGACTTGCGAACCAAAGGATTGACACAAGGATCTTGCTTGCGAATCACTCCAGGCCAGGCTCGATTGACCTTTGATAGCCCCCCACATGTCCTGGTGTTCTTACCCAAACACTCCATGTATCTACATTGACCCCTCTGGCACCACCCCTGGCCTGATCGGTAAAAACGCCAGTCCCATGGGTCCAGAAGTCTCCGCAGTGACACCCAGAGGTCTCTGTGTGACTCAAAGCCCGTGTCATGGCAACCAATACAGGAAACCTTCCAACCAATCGCTGGATTGCAGCTCTACATGGCAAATCCTCGGGGCTCTTCTGCAATGAGATCAGCTTAACACTAAATCTGAGATGACGGGCATGTTCATTGGCTAGAGAATTGCACGCATTTGCACGCCACAAAACGACTCTTTCCAGACACAGGGACTCACCTTTTGAGGTGTTTGGGGAGTTGTCATGATGTTCTATTAATTAAAGACTTCCATTCTGACCATCATAAGATGGTCGGAAAAGACCATTTGTCTGGCCGCAGACTTCCGATGACATACCTTGATGGTAGTAGCTTCAAAAATGACTTCAAGGCCCCGAAGCCCCCAGCTGGGACCCAGGTCCACCACCTACGTCCCTACGACCGACCGAACGATCCTGTCACGACGACCGGCCGCCACGCGGAAACCAACCGCTGTCCAACCCTCGGTGAAACGACCCACGTGTCGTCTGGGACAGCACCGCGAGACCGACCGGTTTGGTCCCGAACATGACCAGAATGGAGGAGAGGAGGACCTACCAAGGTGGTCTGTCTACCTTGCTTTTGCTCCATTTCCCCCACACCAAAAGCGGCTTCTTAGATTTTTCTAGGGGAAGTCTCGCCTTCATACTCGTCCACCTTGTTGGGCACCGGTCGAATAAAGGGTCGCCGCTCGGTGGGCAAAGACCGGCCGGTGCTGATGTACTTGGCACCTCCTTAGGACCCGGTCGAGTGACGGAGAACCGTCGTCTCCGAACATGGGTGATATGGAAGAATCCATCCTCCTATTGAAGACGTGATATTTGAATCCAAATGAGGGGATGCTATTTATTGTGATTGTTTCATCAAGAGTCTACATTGCTTTATGATCTTTGTGATTGACCAAAGGGAGGTGGAACGTGGGTGGATAGATGCACAGCCTGGGCAAAGGAAAGAGCCAACCTTGCACCTGAATGCGAACCTTGGCCTTGGCCTTGACCTTTGTCTTTGACTGGGCTTGACCGGTGTCAGGCCGAGCTTGGGTGATCGACTGGTGTCTGGATCAGTAGCCTCCAACAATCATGTAATCTCTGATCGGCCTTTGTACGCAGAGAGACTGATTCCTTCATTAAAGATCTTCTCCGGATAGATGTCCTTTTTCCCTGCCACGGTATGCGTTGGTACAAATTCAAGGCTATAGTTTGTTTAAATGTGTGTATGTTTGTGTGTGTGGTTTCCTCTTAGTCTCCGAGCTGAAGGTTTTTTGTTCAAGGATGCTGCTATCAGGAATCATCTATGGATTCATGCAACGTGCCCATTTGGGCCTCAAACGTTCTCCGAAACACTGTCACAAACAATATCTTGCTGTGGGTCGATCGGTTTCCGACATGCCTTCTGGCCTTCAACGCATCCAACTGATAGAGATCACATGAGATAACATTGGAGAGCTGCTGCGTCAGAAGAGTATCTGGGATTGCGATACACTAGAACTCGGACCGGTATGACAACCCCTGCGTGACATGGAGCCTCATCTCCAATACATACCCATTCAGTGTTCCAGAAACAGAAATCAGATTGTGTGTAACATGATTGTGGAAGCAAATGTGCGCCAAAAGAATTGTTCCTTCTGGCTGAAACGGATTGATGGGGGCAGCTCTGCGGTCTGCGAAGGGCACAAGCAGCCTGTTGACTCTTAAAGGTCAGAGCGAGAGGCTCCTCTACTATCCCTAGGCTTCCAACCACTATTAATATAATAGGCTTTACCGAATCAACTAAGGATTTTACACTACAAACACCAGGTCGTTCCCATTTCTTATAATGGTCTTGGAAGTCTAGGGCTCTTCTGCCTCGAACACCGTCCTCGGCCCCAAAGACGTCCTTGACCAAGTCTGAGCGCATGGAGCGCTGCTCCAAAGGGGCTCGATGGATGGCTCGATGGATGGGACCAGATTTGGTGCATCTCATGCCTCGAACGTCCTCGAACCAAGGAACCTGATGAGAAGTAGAGAGGAGTTTGTACTGAGTTGAGGAAGATCCCCAGCTGTCAGCTGCAGGCCTCCATTCAGCCTTCCGTGAATTTGGGGTCATTCCCGGGTGCCCCAAAATGTATCAAATCAAGAAGCAATTTGATTATCCAGCCCAATCAGCATTGTTCAACAGAAGGTATAACTGTATAACTTCACTCTTATCTCTTCCGAATCACACAAGAAGTTCGAGGTGTCTTTGCACTGATCCAAATCCCAATCGCGAATCACAAATCCAATCCAGCATTCACATTCATTCACATTGCACATCATTGCACCTCACCCTCCTCTACGTTTTCTCGGTTTCGTTTGGCTTCCAAGCCATTCCAACTGCGATCCATGCGTCCATAGCGCAGCTCGTTCACGACCTGCAGAGTCTCCGACGTCAGGACGTTTGGGAAGTTGAGAAGAGCTCCAAAAAACCCATGTTTTTGCACATGACCCATCCACCATGACCCCAATGTAAGGCCACCATGACCCGTGTCACATTTTTTTTGGGGGGTTGAAGGGTTGGAACACCGAGATGAGGGACGTTGGAACACCCACCGCTGGCGTTCCTGGTCCTGGGCAAGATCTTCCATCAGGAAGGGGAATACACGTTTTTACCTTTTTTCACTGGGGTATCCACTCATTTGGAACAAACCCACACCAGCGCAGCATGTTCCCTTTTTCCAATTCAAAGAAGTATGAAGTATATATGTCTATAGATTCTAACTAGATTACAAAAATTCTCGAAGGTTCTTGAGGTTGCATTTTCTAACCCCGTCTACATGAACACATGGTCTCAGAACCCCTTGTGTGCTGCTTGTTGCCGATGACGGCCGGGGGAACGAAAACGCACACGGTCGGGTGCGTGTGAAGAGAAACACCCCGTTTCGGCCCACTGCCAACACCCAGTGAAAGGACTGTCTCACATAGTGTTGCACAGAAAAGAATTGTCATGAAGCTGGTATTGCCATGTATTGCCGTCTGTGACCTGCCCAAGCTCCAAGAAACCCAGGAAGTGTAAGACAAGACACGTAAAAGCCGATGATCTTCGCCTGAAAAACAAACCTGCGCGCCCGAACGACATCATTCTTTGGACCTGGAACCTGGGATCGAGGGTGTGACGTTTCTTGCCATCGCTCCAAACATAATGTGATGATCTGGGTCATGGCACCCGGAGCCCGTTTCACCCTGCTAGGTTGACCTCCCAAACGTTTTGCAGTAATTAGTCTATCCTGTTCATGTTAGGGAACACCCAGGGTCTTTATCTGTTCGACTTCCATGACCCACATGACAGGTTCCCTCCTCGTGACAGGGCGTTTTCATCGTGCCCAGACTCGTGAAGTCCTTTCGCTCTGCGGGGAACGTTCACCAACCCGTCCCCGGTCAAAGGACAAAAGGACATGCCCAGATTGGTCTCCAAAATGTGCGTCGTTTGTTTAAAACCAACCTGACTTTAATACCAGAAATGGAGACATCAAAGTCTAGTAGTCAAGTAAGATCTTCAAGGCATACAAAAAGTATCAAAAAGCAAGCAAACGACCCCCAGACCTTACAATCGAGATCAATCGCGCAGTCTGAACTAAACATCCTATCCCCCTTCGAGGTGGGGCGGGCCCCTTCGAGGCCCCACGGACGGACCGATCCCGAGGCGCATCAAGAATGACAAGGTGAACACTTGCTTCAGCAGCCGCTGTGCAGCGATTTTGAAACTCCTGGCGCAGTCGCAGTCTCAGCGAACGGGTGGAGGAAGAAAACGAAACACCATGTATAGAATCATCTATATAGAATCTAGAACCTACACCCATCTGCACCCTATAGGCTATATCGGGAATCCAATCCATGCAAAAGTCTATGAAAAACGGAGAATGGGGAGAACCTCTGGGTATACCGAAGTTTCCCGCTTCCCTGACTATCCTATCATTGATATCCTGTGAACCCTCGTGGGGATGCAGCTGGCACTGGCCGAATGAAAGTGTTGAAGAACTTCACAAAATAAAACATCCTGCAGCCAAATCAATCATTCTTCATCAGTGAGGGTCTTCAAAAACCCACCTGCTGGTCGGGTAATGAGTCTACCTGCTGGTATGAGTCTTCAGACCCAAGTCACTGGGTCTCCTCTCGAGCCATTCCTCCATGAAGAGTGGCAGTGCGGTGGCCAGAAGCACCAAAACCAGTAGAGCATAGGTGTAGATGCTGGCAAGCATCCTAGCTTCGGACGATGCTGGGGACGTCAACAACTCTGTGGGGTGAGAAAAACCTGTTGCGAACTTCCCGGTTCGCCAACTCTGAGATGGGGTCACCTGAAAGTGAGGCTGGTAATGGCATTTCTCCAAGTGATGTAGACTGTTGATCAATAAAACCCAACCCTTATTAAGGAAAGGTTTTAGATCTCCCTTGGGTGTTTGCTATTAATCAGCATACATTATTGGTTCAGAACTTCATCAATCAGAACTCCTGTGAGGCTGCAAAACTCAACCCTCTGGGCAAACATTGAACGTCGCCCATGCAAGAGTGTCCGTGTAGCGTATGTGACCCGAGAGCAAAATGAAACGGATTCTTGAGCAAATGACTTACTGCAGCTAGGACCTTAGGAACAACAAAATAGTTTCAGGCCATTTTTAAGTTTGGTTCAAAACACACACGCAACACACACACACACACCTTGCATCAAACACTGAGATTAAAACAACTATGTCTCATTAATTATCATTCTCATTCAAAGTCTTATGGATATTTTCCTTGGATGACAATGGCCGCGGGAGCACCTGCCCATGAGCTCGGGTGCAGGGCGGCGACCGCAGGAGGGCTCGAATGCGGCAAAGTGGGCGTCACAGTCGGATGCCAAGACTAGGGACCAAGTGAAAAGCACCTGAGTTTCTTCAGAAAAGAACACAAATCAAAGCGGTTTTGCGAGCGGATTGGGTGGGGGGTTAATTGCCACCGGTTGCAGAACCATGCACTTCAAACCGATGGAGAGAGAGACATGGAGGAAACTAGAACTTGTCGAATTTGCGGTTCACCGTTGCGACATATTGAATAGCAACATGCCCGGGAAAGGCCCCCCAAAAAAGTGCTCTGGAACATGTCTTTGTATGAGACAACGCGCAATTAGCCACAGCGAAACATGAGTTTCACTGAAAACTCATGGAGAGAGACGACATGAATACAGCTCTTTTTTTCGACATGACATACTCCCAAACGCAGGTTTTTAAGTGGATTCCAAATACTTCAACAAAAACTACAAACACCACATTGAAAAAACACACTAAAACGTCCACCAAGCGGAGCCGTGTTTGTTTATCTGTCCTTAAAACGTGTTTCTTCTTGAAAAAACGCAGCACACTTTTGTCGGAGCGAAGTTGGCCAATCTGAACTGAACTGTCAGGGTTCCGAGGCAGTCAAGAAAACGCAGCGAAGATGAGAATTGTCTGGTCTTTGAGCAGATCAAAGAAGTGAGCTCAAAGAGGTGGCTCTTTGAGCAGCTCAAACAGTCAAACACTTTGTTACATGGTTTTGTCGACAGCCCGAACTACTGGTCAGATCGTGTGATTATAGTTCAGCACAAGTACACTACAGAGTCAAACGAAGTGGCAACTGCAGCATAACCCTGACTTGAACATAATGATCATAATGGAATAGCCAACTGCAAGCTGAATATTAATACCATGAGTGACCCAAATAAGCTCACGGTAAGCGACTTTTGGAAGCAAAGCACTCGAAGACTTTTCTGGGTGGGGAATTGTTGCAAGTTAAGTAGTCAGTACGAACAGGACAGATCAACATCAAAGCTGGCCCCGTCAGCTTTCATTTTCCATGTAAAGATATATATAGTGGGGAAACCAATCCCCAAAAGACAATATAAACATGTTATACATAATAACTATATATATATATATATGTGCCGTACTGAACTCAAATACACTATCCATTATGTGGGGGCCCTATCTCGTTCACAAGCGAATACTAATGATAGACAAGCAAATAGAGCATATCGTAGACTACTTTAAAATTTAGTAAAGCCTAAATAAAAGTGGTTGCTTAAACATATATTGATTAACTATATAATATATAAAACAAACCAAAGGTTATCCACTGACTCGGTAGGAAAGCATATCCAGATATGTCCACATTGTCCACCACCCTTTTTGCCTCACGCCATCACCGCCCAAGTCGAAGATCCGAATCCCGGTTGTCTGAGGCACAGTGGGCATGACCCAGGAAAGAAGGAACTGGGTCAAGTAGTAGCCAGCATGAGCATAGTACCTGGTGAATGGGTCGCGGGGTCATGGAACGAAATTGGTTGTCAACCCAGCTTCTGGTATCCATCGGGGTCATGATCCAAAGCCCCAACGACTCCCAGCACAGCGGTAAAGGGAACAAACACACAGAATAAAACAAGTAACCTTATGGTACCTGATGTTTTCATGTCTGGCATGTCCACCTGGTTCGCCCAAATTTGACCCATTTGAGTAAGAAGGTTGACACCAGCCACCCGACTTTAGTATTGATTTCCCATTCTCATCTCTGAGTGGGTTTGGGGGATACAGTTATGTATATAGACAAACCCAAATTCTTCCGGACTGAATTCACTTTTCCCCATACCCCCCCTTGAGAGACTTCACCATCTGAGATACCACGCATCAATGACGCGACATAGAATGCACCTGCTTCACCCCGGATCATCCTCGGCATTTTGCAGAATCTCGTCGCTATATACAACCTCTTGAAACAATGCATTGGCTCCAGTGCCAGATAACTATGTTCCTCTTCCTGTGAACAGGCCTCCTTCTTCCTGACCTCTTCCTGAACCTGACGCACTGCGAACTCCACCCATTTCCGCCCGTTTCAGTCGCTCAGAACCATCCATGGACGCCCCAGAACGACCGAATGCTCTTCGCTCGCACCGAAGCCGAACACGTCGACCGCACGACCGGCTTCACGTCGATGCCCGACCGGACGCGTCGGTCGCACAGGGTGAGGACCTCCGGCAGGCTCATGAGCTGACCCAGTCGACACATCTGCCGTGTCAGCAGCTGCTCGCCTCAGATTTTGGTCGTCAGCTGGTGGGCCGATCCAGCTGATTAAGATTCTAGAAATGGGTTGGCCAAAAGGGAATCATGACTCATGACTTGAGGATTCCAAGTACACTTTACGCATTGGGGTGAGGCAAACCAACACTTGAATTGGTTTGCAAAGCCCTTGAACTGGTGATGTAAGGTTTGACCCAGGGTCAAAGTGACTTGAACAAACAAACACTCATGACTCATTACCATCTCCGAACCAGAGCTTGAGGACCTCCAAATGCGTTCTTCCTTGCATGAGTCATTCACCTTTGTTGCACTATGTATAGGTGTGGTCAGGATGCAAACATGGTGCTTTCCAGAATGGAAGAACTTTAGCAACCCAAAAGTAGATTGAAACCGATTGAAACTGACATCAAAAAGGCGCTTTCGGAGCGGAATTGTCCCTTTCTAGTGCCTGTGGCATCACTGTGACCAAATCTGGGTTTGTAGCTGTTAGTCCTTCCTTTTCCAAAGTTTGCTTGCTGTTTGGATGGTCCTTTCATGTCCGTTCCATTCGTGTCCTTGCAGGTTCTTCCCGGTTCCCTGCCCACATGTTGTGCGGGGTAACTGGGATTCTGGATAGGACACATCATGCTTGCACCGAACCTGCTTTGCTGAGAGGTCTACATGAACTTTGGAGTAGGGACTCCTGCAGAGAAGCACCTATTTTGCACATGTCCTGGGAGGACGTGGCCAGGCGTGGTCATCTAGTTTCAAAGCCAAACAGCCCGGACCTGTCGATGAACCCACTTTGCCTGCTCAAGCAATGTCCCTGTCAGGCATCATCACGCTTTCGATTCCTGTTTCGGGACACAACAAGTTCGATCAAGATAGCAAGACCATGCAAAACCATTATAAGGACGCTACTAGGTGGAGGCCATTGCAAGTAGGTTGGAGGCCATCACTAGTAACAAGAAGCTACTAGTAGGTTGAAGATGGTTGAAGTCCTCACCGTCTTTGCGTCACTCTCCGGCGCTCCCGTTCGTTTTCTCGTCACTCCCGTTCATCAAACCCCCACCGGTCGTTGATGCTCCGTGCGGTATGTGTCTATGTATCAGTTACCTACATTGGGGTCTTTTTCACCGGGTAAATTAAGCGTGATCCCCAAATAGATGACCATGGCACGGTTTCCCATACATTTTCTACGTGGGTGTCTACTTTTGCCTATCTATCTATTTGGGGGTAAATGTACCAATAGACTACCCTACCCTACTTATAGGCCTCCATTGGGCACCCGTGAGAAGCACTAGGTAATATATTGTACATGGCTGGTCTCATCTGTTCACGTCGCTCACTCCGGCAGTCCCGAACCTTCGAGACGTCTCGAAGCACCGGGGCACCACTTCCGCTGGAGAGCTTGGAAAAGAATTTCAGCACCTGAGAGGTGCGACCTCTCCGTTTCGAGCGAAGTATGGGAGGTTCTGCATGGGATGTGTCTGCGTGGGAGGTTCTTTTTTCATGCGAAGCGGGCGCCCGTTCACAAACACGTGTACATCTGAGGCTACCAGTTGGTTTCTAGCTGTCCCGGTCACTGTACGTCTAGGTATTGGAGGTTCCCAGGGAGCATCAACATGTTGCAACCTCGTACGAGATAGTTTGTGCCTCCCCAGACCCTACAATTAGGTTTCACTGATTTGTTTTGTATTTTCTATTTTTGTTCAGGTCATTTGAAATTCAACAAAATGATACATGCAACAATGTCCACATGTCCATTAACCAATGTAATCAACGGACCCACAAAACATGCGAGCTCACCTGAGTCTCTGCTTCCCGAGAAATCACACCTTACATACGCAAAGCTTGCGTTTTCTCTGTTTTGCTTACGGTGACACATGTATATGGCTATTCTTACGTTGCGCTTACGGCGGAGGTATGCAAGTCCACTATGGTCACATATGTTGTTGCAGAACAAGAAAGGAAACAGAATCAAAGTAAACAAGTTTCGCTTCCGGTATAGCCTTATGGCATCGTTCAAATCTGCACATCCTTACGGCAAACCTTACTGACACCTTACAAACATCAGCTAAAATCACTGTTTTCACTGAAATTTTTGCCGGTCCCTGGCTAAAGAAGAAAGGGTCAATTTAGAACGCTGCTCACCTGAGTCTCTGCTTGCCCCCAAAAAGATGACACCCAGGATCTGAATTCCTGGGTAGCAATGCCGGGAATAGCGATCCACAAAACCTACGTACTACGTGTATCTACGTGTATCAACAGCCAGACTAAGAGTACCAAAAATAGACGAAGTGGCGCAGGATCCCTCCTTTGCTCGAAGGATCCCTTTTTCGGCTCCCTGGTTTTCACCGGCGCTTTGGGAGCCGGAAACCGAACTGGAGACCGGCCGATCAGAACGTGTGACCTGCAAACGCAAAATCAAGTGATTCAGTGGAAAAACGAAGCGTTGCATCATCCAACAAGGTACACATGGGGTACACTGAACAGTTGCATCATCCAGAATCCCACCGAAAAATCCCATGCAGTGCCTCAGCCAACAGCTGACGAATGACTGATCCGGTCCGGTCCGAACCTCCCCGAAACCGGCCGGAAACCGTCTCGACCTGTTCGACCGAACCGTCTCCGGTCGACCGGAGATCGAACCCGAAACCGAACCGAGCCGTTTCGACGGTACCGAGCCAAGGCGCCGAGTTGAAGCCCAAGTCACGACCCTTGGAGAGGTGAAAGTACTCCTACGGACGTGACGGTAGAAGACCGTGGAGTGAGTCAGCAAGCAGCTGAGTCGAGGTGTTCGGTTTCTTCCCCGTAGGGATCCAAGAACCTTCTCAGATGGTGATTGGAGGCACTGTCATGCAGGTTTGGAGGCTTCTTCTGTGAGCATTTCTTTTTGGGGATCCAAAAGAAAAGGTCGAAGCTCAATCAAAGCAAGGGTGTTTTTTCTCGTGAACACTTCTTTTTGGGATCCAGTCACTCTCAGAATCTCTCAGAATCCCCCTTTGGAAAGGGAGAGAGTTCTATTTGCTTGATAAATATGGCAAGCAAAACGCAAAACCCTGGAGGTCGTGATTGGCATATCTTTGCTTTCCCCTTCATTACATGCAATGCTTGAAGGTTTGGGATATACATTCCGCATACTGTCTCCAAGAACCCAGGTTACGTATGTACAGGAACACATCGCAACACGATGGTTCGCTACATCTTGGGGTGCCTGTTCCACGGTAATCCTCGGTATATATCACAGTCCAGATTGCCAGGATCAATCATGAACAACAGATCAATCCGCTGCCTTATGACAAATCTCTCTGCCATCGGCGCGCAGAACGAAGTCCAAGCCGGCAAAAATGTCTTCCGAGAGGTTCAGTGTCCTGTGGATGACTGCCAAAATGGGCCCAAATACCGGCTGGGGCTGCTTCGGTAGGAGTCAAGAACAGTTGCTGTAACAAAAGGGACTCCAGCAGGTCAAGCTTTTAGTTGCGCTGTGATCCACAAACACCACACCATGGAGTGATATTGAAACTTGTATAGTAGCTATCCGTTCTATTGTTTTTTAAACGATCTGTGGGAACTGACAAAGTATATACTGCAACATTTTGCGAGACCTCTTCGGAGATCAAGCATCTGCAAGACTGCAACCTGTACATTGAAATCAAATGACACGCTGGTTTTGGCAAGATTTGGCTGTGTTTTAGTGCATTCAAGACGTCAGTTGCCGAAGGAAATCGAGAGAACATCAACATACAGTATCCCAAGCCATCCTAAGATGGAATCAAAGCAAAGGTCACCAACACTCTGTGGAACATTTGCGTCTATATAATAGGTATAATAGGGATGAATAGCGGGACAGGATAGACTTAAACTCCATCTTCATTGCCTCCACTTCAACCTTCTCCACGCTTCCTTCTCGCCCCTTCCACCAGCGAATGAGCCCAGCCGTCCTGGTGCCCTTTGAGATGCCGCCCTGTTGCATCATATACCTCACAGCGCCAGTCGTTCACGCGCTCCGCGGAGGGGTTTCACGACTGCAAAGCTCGCACGGCAGCGCCATGCTGTAGCACAGGTGGAAAAAAACAACGGTGGCTTCGAACGACGACCCCGAGAAGTCTTTGAAGCTTCTTAAGAAAGCTTTCGAAATAGGAACTATTTGAAGCTTCCTTACGGGAATCGTTTCACCTGTAGCACAGGGGACCGGCCTTCCTTCGGGACCGAGTTCGGGACGGAGTGCGCGGCAGGTGTCCGGCTGAAGCCACCGGACAAGACCGACTGGGCTGAACAGATAGTATAAAAACCTCCCGGAAAGTCCAAGTGCTTTGTCTGAAAGGACCCAATTACCAGCTAATTGGGTGATGTGAAGATTGTCTGTTTGTCCAAGGTTTTTGTTGCCTTTGTGGAAAGAACCGTCAGGTTGAATGGTTTGATCTCCAGAAATCCATACAGTACCTGGTTTCCAGGTCTTACTTGCTTGCGAAGTCCACCAATCAATTGTCTTGAACGCCCTGCGAACTCGCGCCAAACCAGGAGACGGCTAGTCCATGTCGTGCACGGGTCCTTTTTGTACGACAGAGTTCACCCCCTCCCCATGCACCGCAGTCCAACCATCCGCCCAATCGTTTCAACCGGTGAGTTCGCGAAAAACCTAAGTTTCACTTGCACTTCTGAAGCCATTTTCTCTCACACCATACTGGCCTAGTTGCATCGAAATGATTAAACACATGATGGTAGGATATGGTTTGAAAAAAAACATAGATATAATGGGTTGAGAGTAGATGGCACAATCCCCAAAAGGGGGTTATATGGACGCTTCACTAAAAAAGACATTTTGGGGTTTGTGCCATCTACAGTATTCTCAATCCACTGTACATAATCATCCTTCCTCTTCCCCCGCGCCGGGGCCATGACGCCAACCGACCAAGCGACCAGCCGACCACTCACTTTTCCAGAAACCATCCATGTGTTTGTGTTCAAATCCTCCGACATTTGTTTAAGACTGTTGTTTTTTTCTAATCTGTTTTCCGCGATGCCACAGGCTTTCTAGAAAGCTAAGGGAACATACATGAAGGGACCCACGTGATCTGACATATTACTAATATATTTGTTTAAAACAAAAATGAACAATCAATCGCTTATAGATGGACCTAGATTGACTTTCCGAACATCCTAATTATATATTTGGCTGAATGTTTGCACATATTCAGCCTGACCTCACAGAATCGTCTCCGAAGCAAACTTGCGCCTTTACGCTAGAACTATCCCACTGCGATGTGGAAAGTTGTGATGAACAATGCTGAAAAAGAAAGGGCATCACACACACACACACACCAAAAAATAATCATCAACTCGAAATCGGATTGGCTTCTCTCAGATTTTGATGGAGAAACAATGAGAAACATGACCCGGCTTTCATGATGGTTTCTTGAAGTTTCTTCAAGTTTCAAGTGACCTCTCACGGGGCACTCATGCAGACTGGTGGCTGTTTGTTCATGAGGTCCGGGTGCCCATAGTGCATCCGGGCACCCAACACTGCATAGGAGCGCTGAAGCAACGTACAGAAGGCTGTTTCAGAGCCCGCCGCAAAGTCACCCACAGAGCCCAGATCGCCTCGATTTCGCCGGCGGCTCCCCGCGATCCCCCCACCCAGAAAGGGGGCCCCAGATCCAAGAAGGGCCCAAGTCATTAATCCAAGGCGAGCCACTGTATTTCTCAGAGACGAGATCAACCGTTCGAATACCGAAACAAAGCACAAATTTGGTCCCCACCCGACTCAAGTGATGGGGATCATGGGATAAGAAATCCAGGAACTTCGGTGCCGGGAATGGTAATTTGTTGATATTTGTTGTTGATTATGTCCATATTTGATACCCATGCCGCCTGAATTGTCTCGGCTGTGACCCTGTGAGGATGACGCAGCCACAGCCACATCATGCCAAGCTGCTTGTGATGTGTTCGGGAAATCCGACGATCCTCAGTTGGCCCGCAGCTCCAGAGCCAACCCTAAAAAGGACATCTCGAGCTCAAGGCAACTTGGGTTGTTAATCCTTGTCTCAACAGTTGTCAACCACAGGATTTGCCACGCCCAAGCCATTACTACAGTTCAACATCTGTTGCTCTGTGACCCTCTTCTAGAAGAACGCCTCTTCAACGATTCGTAAGTCACTCAAGCTTTGTACCCCATGGTGCACTCGTTGATAGATTCTGCTTGATGCACGATCGCACTTGCATTGACCCTGCCCAGCATCCGCTTGGCTTTCCAACGAAACTCCCCGAGGGCATTGGGCAAAAGCAACATCTGCTCAAAGTAGGCACCTCCACCAGATCAGTCACAGCCACGGCGAGCCCACTTCGAACGAGTTGAACCGGTGCATCTGAACGACCTGAAGTCCTTTTGCCGCAATTGGCCGTGCTTTCTTCTGCCAGGTATTCTCTCAAGCATCTCTTTTTGGAATCTTTCAGAACAAAGGGCCAACGATTGAGTGGTTGCCCTTCAGTCACTGAGGGTCTCTCTGTTTCACCGTCGCAGTGATGGGAAGTTTGAAGGCGCCCATCCCTGCGCAGGGAGGGTGCTTCAACTCATCGCACGAATCCCAAAAAATGCGACAAACATCCCTCAAACATCCTCAAACCTTCATAAACCCAGAGAAACAACTATAAGTGTCTGGATGTTTTGTTGACCAAGTGTTGAGGGCACCCAAATTCATGTTCCAGGAGGCGGATTTGAACTTCACCTTGCGGCGAACCACCGATCGGCAGACCTAGGGCATCCTATCCCCACCTTCAGTACAGTACCCCTCTCCACCCTGGCACCTTGGTTGGCATCCACACATTGTGTGATCGTTCCCCGGGAGAACGGCAAGGCATGGTTCCTGCAGAGGTGCTTGTAGATGTGGAATGAGATGTGGGTGTCTGATGGAATGAGATGTGAATCTGTAAACAAAGGAAAAAAGAAAAGGTCCCCTGGACAATAGTCTGGAAGTTATTGAAAATGCAGGAAGTCATCGGTTGTCGTTGACTAAGCTCTATATGTGCCAGAAAAATATGGTGACACAGGTGAAACAGTTTACACACACAGTCACCATACCCGTGTTGAACATGAAGTGTTCACCAATCGTGACTACTTACTACTACTAGCAGGAGTAGGAGTAGGAGTGGGAGTAGGAGTAGGAGTAGGAGAAGGAGTAGTCGTAGTAGTAGTAGTAGTTGCTGTTGTTGTAGTGGCTGCAAGTTTACTTTTTGTTAATCCCACCCCATAAACAATCCGCTCTATTCACTTCCTCTGGGCTTGTGTAACACCCCCTTGGCAAACTGCATTTCGAAATCGCAGAGCAATGAAATCGAAGAGATTTAATACGGGTGTTTGAAAATGGTTTTCAGGTACGATTTCCATGAACCAAGCAAACCTCAGAAGAGTTGAGCAAGGATCTTAAAGGGCAGCAATAGCAGAACAATAGACAATTATGCTTGGATACGTCTCTGGCAACCATGTGACGTTTCTTAGGCAAGGTTGGTTAGAGTCCCATGGCTTCTTTCTGCACGTTTTGCCCAACTGGATAAATATATGTGGAAGGGTCCGTGAGAAGCATGGCACCGCCCGCAAGAGAGAGACCAAAGAACCATGGTTTTACTCAGGAATTTTACACTACACCATCAGCTCAACCATTTTTTTGCTGGTCTTTGAAGGCTAGGGTCTGTGTATATATATATATATTATATAGCTCTTTAGGGTGTGTCTATATATATATATAGCTCTTTATATATATATACACGTATACTATAGCTATATACATACCCATGTATACGTATATTCGAACCAACTAGACCTGAACCGGCTAGTTCACACGTGCAACACTTTGTTAACAAGTCTTGAGAGATTCTCCGACAAAGTCTTGATGTTGTTAACACCAAATAGTACGAGATTGCATGCCACAAAAACACCAGGTATTGAGGCCTACATGGCCTGCATACATCTGAAAACCTGCATACATCTTGGAGCGTTTTGATCAATGAAGACAGTCTCCCTTCCCAGACAAAATAGATTGTGTTCATTTTGTTCAGGGTTGTTCCTCCCTCCCCCAAAAAAACAAACACCAACCTTCCACAAACCATCCAAACATATCCAAACCATCCACGGAACTAAGTCGTTCCTCCCAGCGGCTGGTTGTCTGCCTTCCCATCGCTGAGGATCGGATACCCAGGTAACTCGATCCGATACCTTAGCGGCCCCACGACCGAATGGGCGACCGAACCAAACGGGGTCTCGGAACCGCCTCGCGCCGCCCGCCGTCGAATGGGGCCGTTTGCAGCATGCACGCGCGCACGAAAACGCATGTCTCGGAAGACCTGGGATTGGCCCCATGATTCAGGAAGTCTTCCTGATAAAAAAAGGAAGACTTTAGAAGATAAACATCCAAGACAAAAAAATAACCATAAACATGTTTATTGGGCCATTCATCCATCCATAAACAATCACCCAAGCTCCACCGCCAGGACCGGAAGGGGAGCGCGGAGGGCCGAACGTGCACCGTTTGGTCGAGAAATCAGGTGACCGAGGATGACCGAGGTCGAGAGATCTTAGTTAGATCGACAAATCAACCGCAGATCTGAAAGATCTTACGGCAGAAACGATGCGTTCAACACTGGAAATTGTTCACTATAAGACATAAGTAACCAGGCAACTAAGATCTTGAAGATCTGCACAGCAAAGATCAAGTGAACTGACGAAAAAAAGAGAACTTTCACCCTGTGGAACATGAACATCACCCTAAGCAACACCGCGGAAAAGAATGGTCTTGCTCAGTGTCTACCTTAGGTGTCCACATCGGTCTCAACCCCTCGGGAACACCGGGAGCAGTTCCCGATCCGGTGTCTCCCAATTCCAGGTGGCAACGGCAAACGGAAAGCTGAAGTGGAGTTTTTGGCCTGCCAAGGTCTCTGACGGGAAGAGGAAGGAGGAAGGCTCTCTTTATTTTTGGGGAGGTGAGCTTAAAACAGCGATGTTGGAGTGTCCTGTGCCTTTGGAGGTCGTCCCATGAAAGCATGTAGGTGGTGTGGTGCAACATAGAGGTGCATCTTAAGAACGAGGATGCTGTGGCAAGGGGGGATTGAAGTGGAATTGGAAACATATTGAATAATATATGTTTTAAATATTATATATATATCATCGTATATAATATATGAATATAAATATAATATATCATTATATCAACCTTAAGCAACAAGAACCATTATTTGAACGGGATCAGTAAAAAAACACAATGTTCCTATGAAACCCGATGTGTTTGAATACCATGTTTGTTTCACTGACCCCTTTCTCATCCTGTCTCACCATTCCACTCGCTACTGAATTTCTCAAGCTTGAACCCATCGGAAGGCCTCCCAAAATATATGCAACAAACATGATCGTGTCTTCAGGTGTGTATAAACCAACAAACATGCAAAACAGTTAAGAAAATCTTTGAAAACATGTACCACGGGAAGGTTGGGGAAAAAAAACAACGGGTTAACACAAACAGAAGCCCATTCAATGATTTATTCATCAACAAAAGCCTTTTAGAATGTCAAATATAGAAGGTTTGTGGAAAACCCAATGTTCTTTGACAAAACCTGATGTATTTCAGAATGTGTGTGAAAACCCGATGTTCTTGCGTTCACCCCTTTAAAATAACAGGTTTTGGTGCTTAAGGAATATATCAACATAATATACATCGTTATATATATATATATATCTACGTAGAATCCGTTGGAACCCCTGTTTTGATCATCAATACTCCGAAGCTACTGTTGTGGTTTATATTACAGTAAGTGAATGACCACCAAAACATAGGGATTATTTTTCTTGCATAAGCTATATTCAGCTATACCCTACAGGTCAATGACTTCAAGGATAGTAAGCCTGCCAAACAAATGGCCAAGAGAGGCCAAGCAAGGTCAAGCAACGCTCCTAACCTGATGACCTCATGCGGTGTTTCACCGACTCCTTGTGACCAGACTCCTTGTGCCGCCAACCATACGGGTTCCGTCCACCCTCGGGTGGCAGAGAACACACAAAGAACACACGGAAGAACATACACTCCAACTCCCTAACATGAACGTGGAAAATGGTCCAAAAGGAAGACTACGTTCCTTTATGAACAAGGGATTTTCCACCTTCCGTGTGATGTGTTCGTCGGAGTGTAGGAATCCTCGGGGAGTCGCTCGATGAAGGCGACTTTCGGTGTGGCGACCGGACTGAGATTCGACAAAAGGACCATCAAGGAGGTCCGGTCCATTCAGAGCGATTTACAGATCTAACAAGAACAGCATCAGCCCTCCACACAATTCAAACACAACATCGCAAGCATCTGGTATCACAACCATACATCATATACCCAGGTCAACGAATTCTGACTCCAAAAAGCCTGGCCAAGGGGAGTTTTAACCAGGATCCGAAGAGTTCATATAGATCTTCAGATGGTCAGTTCGTGCTCTTGAAAACAGGTGGTGCACTGGCCATTTCCAGATGTTTCCTGATAAAAAGAATCAAACGCGCGCCGTGTCTTCGATTTCTGAGTTCAATCCAGTTGATTTGATCAGGGCCTAGGTACTTCTCTAGAAACTGACAGTGGCTCCACTGGGGGTTCCTGATTTTGAGCCCAAGCCCGAACATCTGTCAGTACAATCCGCCAACCGAAACATCATCCGTTGCTCATCTTGGATTTGCTTAAGGAACCAGGAAAAATAAGAGATATTCCCCAGAAGGGGATTCACCCATCAAAAAACACACAAATCTCCTTAAGCAAAACCAGCTCTCGCCCTCAGGGTACCCGACTGGTCCTCCCAGCCTTCTTGCAGCTCCGGTCAATGAGGCAGCTGTAGTATCGCCTTCGCTGTTGAGGGTGAAGTATCGCCTGGGCAACCAAAAACCACGCGGTCACTGGTCACTGAATCAGCTGCAAACCGTCCGACTTCAGGAACACGTGAAACAACAGCCACAGGATGTGGGGACTACATCCGAATTCCCTTACATGTGTATGTAACGTATATATGTTTGCTTTTTTCTTGGGGGGGCGGCGGGGGCGGTACTACTCATATTGTTTCATACAATGTTCATCCATTTTCTTGGGCTGCTACGACCTCCAAAGTAGCATGTGCCCAAACATCCAACACGATGAGGTCATTGTGCAGCCAATCCAAACGTCCATTCCATCGCGTCCCAATGGACGATCGGTTCTCCTTTTGGCCCGGACGGATCGGATCGGGTTGACGGACGGATCAGCTGTGTGAAAGTCACAAGGAACCAAACGCGACAGCGCACCGACATGAAAGCATCTTTTGGCGCAAGATGAACGACCCTTGTGCCTAAATGGCCAAGGAAGGTTGGTACATATGCTCAAATGACATCATGCGGAGGTTCATGGAGTTCTTTCACACTCCTTCCGCTTCGAAAATTATGTGGAGCGCTCCGCACCCCTTTCAGGGGCAAATTCAAAAATCCTTTCTTCACAGTGCCCCACCACTCATCCGCTTTCAATCTCTTGGTCAAGAGATCTGCCATTTGATCTCCTGTCGGCAGCCAGTGCAAGGGTGGACGGAGAGGTTTCTCCGGTGTTGGAGCGCCTTGCCCATGACGCTGAAGCCACTGGTGCCGTCCTTCTACAAGTAGGGCTTGGCGGATTCCTGCCAGGTCGAGGGCCAAACGCTTCTCTGAGGGTGCCCTGGGGACTCCTTCACGATGGATGTGGTCATACAGGCTACGGCAGTCGGTGATGAGGTGCAATGGGAGGTATTGCCCAGCTTCTTCTGCTGGAACATTCTTCCCAAACTTGAAAGAAAGGAGCAAGCTTCTCAAAAACACGGCCGTCTCTAAGGCCTCGGAACATGCCATGGTCTCGCCAGCAAACGTCGAGCGGCAAACACGTTGGGAGGCCTTGCTTTTCCAATCCATGATGCCAAAGTGACCGTTTTGGCCTTCCAAGCACTTCTTGTCCCCAATCATCACCAGGGAGGCAAGTTGGGATGACAAAGTATGGTTTCCAAGCCAAGCTTCATCTGATGGGTCCTGGGTGTTGCTATCCACATTTGCCCAAGCTGCAGCGTGATATCCCAACATCACGAAGTCCTCCTCAGGGATGAAGCGGAGGCATAAACCTTCTTCTTGGCGGGCCAATGCATCGGTCACGATGCGGTTGGTTTCTTTGAGGTCCTTGACCGTCGGGTTCTTCTGCCGCCTCTGTGCCTGACACACCTGAAATTGAAGGTCAGGCCGGGTTTGTTTGGCCAACCAAGAGAGGCGCCCAATAGTGGTGCGGTTCTCCTCCACCTGCTCTGGCGTAGCCAGGTCCTCCTCCCCAGCTCCAGCCGTCAGGCTCACCTTTTCCACACGACTCTTGGTGTAGGAAACCTGTTTGATGTGGATGATGTCCGGCCGACAGTCATACTCGCATCCGAGGTACTCGAAGGACCCAGACTCCCATTCATCCACAGGAAAAGCTGCCGAGAGTCGCTTCTGCATCTCCTGATCCAAGCCGGGCTCAGCCATCAACATCAGGTCATCAACGTGAGTCAAGATCAAGCCCCGGGTATTGGCAGCAGCGTCCACAATCATGAAGGCGCAGGGGTCAATAGGATTCTGCTTCACCTTGAGTTCCTCTTGAAGGTACGTGATCTGCATCTTGGTGAGCTCGCCAGACAACTTCATCCACCAAAGCTTTGGTGAAGTGGACAATCCGAAGACTCCTTTGATGATCTCAATCAGTTGGCCCTTCTTCAGAGTCGGCATCCCCCTTCGGGGCTGTCGGAAGTAAAGAGTCCGTGGTGCTGGCAACCCGTTCAAGAATGCCGCGCGAATGTCCCCAATGGAAACGGTCCACTTACGGGCCAGGCTCAACTGTAGTGCCAGCAGCAAAGCATGCCTTGATGTAGTGGGAGCATCCGTCACCATATCCACTTGTCCAAGATCTGGGTCATTCTGACCAGCTACACACAAACGGGCTTTTGCCTTGAGAGGCACCTTCGGATCAACTCGCCTCTTGGCCCTGTTCTTGTCCCGGTAAAGGAAGCGGCAGTTCAAGATCCTGGAAGAGTCGACAGTGCGCTCGACCTCTTGGCTTTGTTCGAGCGAGAGGGCTCGGACAGCCCCGAAGTCCAGGTGTTCTTGCCATTGTTTGAGCTCTGCCTCTTCATAAGCGGGACGTTCATGTTGAGGAATCATCTCCCAGGGAAGCTCCTTGTCCAATTGCTTTTCTCGGCCCTTCTGAGTCAGGACCCGTTTGACAAAGAAAGGTCGTTGTGCTCGGAACTTCTTAATGGGAACGGGCACATCATCCAGAACATGTGCCTTGCGAGCAGCAGCTCGGATGGCCTCGGCTCGTTCCACCACTCCTTCCATAGGAAGTCCGCCTTCATCTGGAGCATCCATTTCTACATGTCCTTCTTCTTCACGACGAGGATGTAGGTGCGCTGGTGCTCCGGCATCAATCTCGTCAGCACTGTCCAGCTCATAGAAGGCATCATCATCTTCATCTGCCCGCATCAGCTGTTTCAGCTCTCGGAGTGCCACCCGGACACGAAGTCCTTCGCTCACCTCCTCATGTTTGGCCTCCCTGAGATGTTCAGGGGCGACTAAAAGACACCGTCCTCCTCTAGCCACCCAGTAGTTCTGCCCCTCGCGGCCAATGACGGAACAAGGTCCGATCCACCTCCGTTTGCCTTTTCCTTCACGGAACACATAGACCAGCTCCCCAGGGTCAAAAGGTCGGGTGGTCACACGAGACTTGTGAGCTATTGCCTTAGCGATGGCATCTTTGGACTGTGCTTGGTAGTAGGAGGCCCGAGCGCCCATTCGGATGACATGCCGTCTCCCATAGGCCTCGTCGTTGGTGATGTTGTAGAGGGCAGCGATGTCCTCATTGTCTTCAAAGAGGTCATGTTCTCGGAGTTGTCCCCCAAATACCCACTGTCGAGGTGAATACCCTGCCCGAGAGCGTAACCCATTCTTGGCGTCGTTGACCGCTGCACAGGCTTCCTTGACATCGGCGTCCAGGATGGAGTAGTCCTCAACCAACTTGCTCCAGATAGCTTTCCAAGACGAGCCGTGCCGTTCACAGAGTCCGTTCTGCCAATGTGCCTGGCCAGCTGAGCATCGGATGATTGTGCACCGCTGATCAAGAAGATCTAAAAACTTGTCTTTGAAAGCCGAGTCCAGGTCAACCAGCACATTCTTAGGGGCGCCAGCCCATGATATCCAGCCATCCACGAAGCTAGCTCCCACCTCTCCAGAAGAAATCCCCGTCAAGGGGATGACCACTTGGTAAGTGCTGGACATGTCAACGCAGTTCAAAGCTGGAAGTGCCTGGCTCTCACACGTGTCCAACCAAATGATGTCAATGGCGACCACCTGGTTGAAATCCAAAGCCACATGAGGCTGTGTCACCCTGGCCGGCTTCGGCTTGCTGTGCTTGTCACAGGTTCGGCGCTGCATCTGTTCAGCTGCACGGACAATCCCTTCGGAAGCTCCACTAAGTCGGAGGTGTCGTATCAGCTCTCGATTGGGCGGATGTCCGAGATTCTGGTGGATCCTCCGCAGTGTGGAAGCGACCATAGGTTTCACTTTTCCTTTGAAGGTGATTCCTTCAGCCCCGAGCGTGTCTTCGGCTTGGTCGACTGAGGGCGTCTCCGTGGGGAAGTTCTCAAAGACCGATCTCCCTTCTCTCATGGCTTTGTCATAAGCCCTCACCACCGCATTGGCGAAGGCCGTGGGATAGGCTGAAGAAAAGGATGTGTCCTTTCCTTGGATCGGCCGGTGATCATGTCCTGCATCGTGGCACTTCCTCCCCATTGCATTGGCAAAGATCTCATTGTTGGTGAGCAATGACATGGCTTTCTTGAGAGGTCTGCCATCCATTGAACTTGTCAGGCTGTACTGACACATGTCTAAGTCGGCGTACCTCGCCGCCGGGAAGTTGGTGAGCCTCTCAATGTCTGGGTGCCTCCATAGGTCACTGCTGCGGGGATTCTCAATGATCGCCAGGCCACCCAAGGCATTCTGCATCTCGAAGACCCTTGCAGTGAAGTCCACGATGACTTTCTCTTTCTGCCTCAACCTTCTCAACTGTTGCGGGGGGTAGTTCAGCCGTGAGAAGTTGCACCACAGCGTGCATGGTGGCGCCATCCAGACCAATCCAGGCCGTTGCACGTTAATGTCTTCAAGGATGGCTTCTTGTACTTCAGGTAGTCGGCAATCGTGATCATACCTCAGGTCACGGGGTTCAAGAACTCCTCGCCGATGTCGAGCGAATGCCGAAGAGACGCGAGCCTCCCCCGCGAAGATCTCCAAGCAATCCACCTCCGATCGCTCGTGGCCACGTACATGGTGGCGAGGTTGGGTGAGAGCCCAAGCTTCCCAAAGCGGCTCGTCCACCACTGACTCTGCCCATCCAGCCAACATCACAGACGTGGCCATCAGAATCTGGAAGACGTTCATCACCCCATCTCTCACTTTCCGCATGTTGGTCCGCTGCTCCGCACGGCGGCGTCGGATCCCATGGCGAGCTCTCGCCCGCGGTGACATGGTTTCATTGCCCGAGCTGGTCACGTTGTCATCTTCAATCACCTCAAAGTCATCAATGCGACTGAGACGGCCTGGAGGAAGTGAGTCTTCCTCGGAGGCCGATTCCTGGTCCCCGCCAGGCTCATAGGTGTGGTCCGCGGCTCCCTCCGCGATCAGGCCGGAGTCCTCTTCAAGCTCAAAGCCCTGGTACTGGTCGCCCCCAGTCTCATAGATCGATTGGCCAACTGGCTCCTCATCGCTCCCCCTGTGCTGGATGCCACCAGCCTCATAGGTCTCCGTCACCTCCGGGCGAGGGAGCTTCACTCCTTTGCCTGCCGCTTCTTCAAGGCTGCGATCTGCTTCTCCAGGGCTTGGATCTGCTCTGACGAGTCTTCGTTGTCGTCCACGATGTCGCTCTCCGTCATCTCCGCCGCGCCCTTCTTCCTTGGAGGGGTGCGGACTTGCTTCCACGACCCGTCCGAAGAACTGGCCGTCCCCGGAGAGCGGCGGGCACTTGGTGGCGGTATCAGGGCCAGAGCTTCCGGATCTCTCCCCAGCTCGCTCTTGGAGTAGGTGATGCCTGCATCCTTGCGTCGGCCCAATTCTTCTTTTGCCCAAGTCGCCAGGCGCACCAGGTCCTCGTGGGAGTTTGGATTCCCTTTGGTCTCTTGGATCGACCACTTCAAGTAGCCTTCCGGGATCTCCTGGTACATGTACCCCTTGAACCTGCCGAAGGGCACCACAGTCTGGCCAGGAGTGCTGCGAGCATCCCGGATGAGCTTGATCATGAGACCCCGGGTCGGTTTGGTTGGCAGGGCAATGCCTTCCTTCTCCGCCAGGTCCACCAACTCCTGCAGCTTGAGGGCTGTCAGCCCCTTCATCTTGTCGTTGGCCGGCGCAGGTTTCTCCAGGTCCCGCTGCTCGATGAGGATCTGTCGGAGTTCGGGGACAGTCCAAGTCCGGTGCACCACCACCCCTCGTTCTTGGAGCTCCACCAGCAGCTGCTCCTTCTTCATGTTCCATGGCGAAGGAAGGAGAGAGGGCATCCGGTGTCAAGCACGGCAAATCCGGGCAGGCCGTGCAAGCTTGAGGTCTCAGCTTAACAAAGCGGCTGCGTCCGATCCATGGGCCAACTTCAGCTTCAAGTGCACCACATGAGCGAAATACATCGCAATAACTCTTGATGACAGTGCCGGATGCCAAACAAGGTAGATATTCAGTGACTCTATGGCCATGCAATTGTTCAAGTAGTGCAGCTTTCAAAGCAAACAACGAGGTGTTCCACTGCGACGGATCGAACAAAGTTTTTCGAGGGACCACATGAACCCGAATGAACTCCTCTTCCGTCTCGACCCAGAAGTCCCTGCTTTGTTTGACCGTCTTCCACCACCCATAGAAACCAGGACCCCCCAAGGGTGTAGGTGATGAAAGCATGTTGTGAATCTCCGGGGCAAGCTTCTTGGGGTAAAACAAAGGAGAAGAAGGAACGCGAACCGGCACATCCACGCTCATGTATGCCTCCTCAGCGACCAAGTGCAATTCACCCACACGCCGCTGTGGCGCATGGCAGGGGATTTTCCTCCCTTCACAATCAGAAACAAGGAGCGATGGATGCCCCGATGCACAAGTTTGCAACTGGACGTTCCGCAGTCCCAAAACCTCTAAATCGACCTGTTCGGCCGCCAAGTTGTACTGCATCCCAAGCGATGCGAGAACAGGCCTGCTGAAAAGCAACGGCACTGAACAAGGAACTATTGCGATGTCCAATTTGAAGAAGACACCGCAAATTGCAAACCAGGCTTTCACCAAAAAGGTGGACACGAACAGCTTGGAGGCTCCGAACCTGAAATGCTCTTCACGGTCCTCCGTGCACACTTCATAGCCATGGGCGGCAGCCCAATCAGCATAGCGCTCGAACCAGTCATGGCCAGCAACTGACTTTGTGCAAGCGGTGTCCACAATGGCCAGAAAGCTGTCAGCCGGGCCCGCCGGCAATGCTGCACTTTGTCTCACCTCAGTCATGAGGCACTGTTCAACTGTCCGTCCACAGGTCTCCTTGGTGGTCTCGGCGATGCAGGACTGGCGTAGGTCGCAGTCCACTCCCCCATCGAGGCCACCCTGGAGGTTCTCAAGGACAAAGGTCTCTTCAATGGTATTGGGCTCATCAGTCAACAACATCTCGGGTCCCAACCGTCCGTAGGGAGGGTGTAGTCCGCCAGTGCCGAAGTCCCCTTCAGTGAGGTAGACCACCTGGCACATCTGGGCCGATTGCACGGCCTTCCCGCTATCCGGCTTATCATCCGAACGGGAAGGGCGTGCTTGGCCACGCATGGGGCACTCGGCGTCCCGATGCCAGTGTCCCTTCCGCTTGCAGACTGAGCAATAGCTACGTTGCTTTGCCAAGCGAAGTCTCTCCTCCGACCGCTTCTTCAACTCATCAAGGTCAGCTCCACGTCCACGAAGTGCTTCTCGGTACTTAGCCTTTGCACCCTGGTACGCCAGGTAGGCGGTGTGCTGCTGGTAGGCGGTGTCCTCGTCGACCAACTCCTCTACTTCTTGAGGTTCCCCTTCATCGTCCTCGGAACTCTCATCGTGGTTGGTCATGTGGACTGAATGCTTTGTCCACCGCTTGTTCCAACCGCCCTTCTCAGGCATCTTCCCCACTTGATCTCCTCCACCAGGGCGTCGGAGAGCTCGATCTTGGACAAGAGCAGCTTGCTGAAGACGTCGAACGTCATAGGTGTTGTTCACGCTCGAAAGCAATGCCAGTTCCTCGCTCTCGCTCAACCTCAGCTTGTCCAGGTAGAGCCAACCTTTGATCAAGGGAGGTAGTTCACAACGAACTTCATGGAGCCTCAACACCAAGCGTTCAAACTCCACATTGAAATCTCGAACGCTTTGGTCGTTCCGGCGACGGCATCTCCTGAAGAGCTCATTCATGATCTGAGAAATCTTCGTGAGCTCGACTTCCATGAAGCGGGTCTGGATCCATTCCAAAAAGTAAGAGACTCCTGTCTCCATAGCCAGCATGTCGACGTCCAGCTCCTCTGCATAGACCCACGCCTTGCCGGTCAAGGCCGTGTACAAGGCCAAGGCCCGTTGCTCGGGCGGCATCTTGGTGCACCTCAACCATACCTGCACTCTTCTCACATACGATCTGGCGGATCGTCCCAACTCAGCATCATTGCAGCCTTCCCCATCGAACTCAGGAACCACCAGCTTCTCGGAGGGTTTTGCCTCGGACTTCCAAGCTCGATCAGGCCAGTCAGCCTGAAAATCATAGCTCCCGGCCCATCTGCCGTTGTTGATGGCAGTCATCTGGTCAATCTTTGCCACGTTGAAGTTTCGAAGCTCGGCGTCCGACATCCACCCATCCCGAGAGCCTCCACTCCAAGGGTCAGCCGAGGGATGAGACCAGGGGTCAGCTTCCCAGGCAGCTGTTTCCCAGTGTTCATCATTCCAGGGTTCGAACTCCAGTCAGCTGCCTCCCAATTCTCATCTCCCCATTCCCACTCCTCTGGTTGCGACCGGGGTTGCACACTAGCCGAAGGCGTTGTCCACTGCCCATCTCCAAGGGGATCTTCACTCGTCGGGGCAGCATCTTCGGTCGCAACCATGGGCGGTCTCCTTGGCTGCCATGCCCTTTGCCCACCGGGCATCAGAAGGCCTGAACCGGCCCCAGACAGCTCCGCGGCACCAATGTGAAAGTCACAAGGAACCAAACGCGACAGCGCACCGACATGAAAGCATCTTTTGGCGCAAGATGAACGACCCTTGTGCCTAAATGGCCAAGGAAGGTTGGTACATATGCTCAAATGACATCATGCGGAGGTTCATGGAGTTCTTTCACAAGCTGTTCGGATCGCTTCGGATCGGAAGAGGCAGTGAGGCACCGGGCAGTGAGGCACCGTGGCGTTCAACATGGCAACATGGGAAGCAATAGTGCAGGATCCCTTCAAACCCGCCGTGGTAGGAAGAACAGGTGGGCATGGTTGTAACCATGGTTAGAGTTGAGTGGCTGTGGGGCTGTGGATGTAGTTCCTTAGTGATCGAAAGGGCATCTTAGAATTTCCTCCGTTGCAGCTCTGGCTCCAACGCAAGCAACTGGTCCAACCGAACCAAGAGTCGTTGCTGGCACCCCGCGAAAACGTGCACCCCATGCACACCTAAGGACCGAAGTGGTCAGGTCCTCCAACCCTGTCCTCCCATGTGCTTTGCTGTTTGGGGCACACACTCATCTGTGTCCTCATGGTCGATATAGGCGATCTTGAGGTTTGGAGGGAAGCGCTCCAACCTTCCAGTAGAGCACGAAGACAAAAAAATAACATACACACCTTTTTGGGAGAACACGTGAAAAACAGCTGTGTTTGTCTGATGTATTGCAGACTCTGCATCTGCGATCCCTGAAGGTAAATCAAATGGTGGGTGACTTAAGTGGGACAGGAGCGAGTCTCACAAAAAAACCTCTCCAAGTAAGTCAAAACATCCTGGGCAGCTTCCACATGTGCAGGAAACCGACACCTTGCAATCAGTACCAGTACGTGGAGTCCAACTCGTCTACATCTTGGATCGGATGATGAAATTGAGCCACTGATTGCCTACATCTCTTCATGTCGCAAAGTTATGGTAGAGGAAAACATCAACTGCATTTTAAACTATATACCCAATATCTCCAAACCCCACTGGTAGAAGGGATACAAACAAAAACCCGTCATTCAACCGGCGGGTGTTCTGTCTTTCTTGAGCCATTGGTGGAGCAACAGCGACATCGTGGAGCCTTTGGTGTTTCAGCCTGGCGACATCTCATTCACCTGTTCTCGCTGAACAGAAGATGAGTATGAGTACCTCGCCATGGCGCTGCGGTTGAGCCACGTTGGGGTGACAGGACGTTGCTGTGCGCTCAATGGATCTCAATGGCCTATCCGGTGTTCATCCCATTCTTGCTATTTTCACGCTACTTCAACCTTTGAGTGGCTTATTGTGGCTTGTATTCTACCATGGTCACAGCATGATTCTCTTGGTTGAATCCAAGCATGTCCAGGAAAACCACCGGCATTCTCCCAAAATCCTCACACCACTTTTCGCTGACCGAGTCGCCCACCGGTCCCGGTCTGAGAGCCACCTCCACGGGTTTTTCGGCCTCTCTCCGCCAACGCCTCTCCACCCCACTCCACCGATCTTCCCCCCCAAGCGGCAGCTGCATGGACACGAGGCATCGGAACCTCAGGTGCCGATGGGTGGCGGAGGTGCAAAGAAACAGGCAGACCTGGCAATCGAAGAACCATTGTTTTAAATGGTCTTTGCCAAACAACTATTGTTTTACTAAGGGTTTTACACAGCCAGGTCAACTGTCAACCAATCTTTTACTTTGGCCTTTGAAGGCGAACCGGGGGTGTCGCTTTGGGGGGCTCACCCGTGAAGAACGGGAAAGACCCAAAGCAAAGAAAGCCATAGAAAGCGCACTAAAAGCTCTGTTTTGGGTTGCAACCACCCAGATTGCGAGAATAATCCGAAGCAGCACGGCTCTTCTTCGGGTTTTGCCGGGGATCGAGGTCCGGAGGTCCAGAGGTCCGATGCCAACCGAGCATTTACCGGTGACATGAGCTATTGGAGGGCTCTGCCTTGCACCAGGGCGTGCAAGACTCATGGTGCCCTGGAAACCAAGTGCCACTCCTTAGCTACCCCAACAGGTCTGCTCTGGTGGCTTTTGGAGACAGAAGTGGCAGGTGTTGACCTGGCGAGGCTGCTGGATATTACATCTTAAGAAGGCAGGTGGGATTCATCTACATCATTCCGCGATCACCGGGTTTCCGAAGCCCCGGGTTTCATCCGGTCTTTCTCGCCCAAGTCGCACGTCGCTGGTGTCCTCCTGACGCGACTCGAGTGCGACCGGTCTCGGGAGGTGTCGAGATTGACTGATCAGTTGGTTGGGGTGTGTTTCCCTACACCTCCAAGTACCTCCTCAGGTTCGGTATGACTGGACGTACCTCCATGGCACCCACCCCAAATACCTTCGAAACGAAAGTACTTGGTTGGGGTGTGTTTTGCCATAAAACGGATCAAGAAAAGGGATGACATGTAAGCTGGCTGCCAGTCCCAAGGAGTGCTTTTTGGATTTGGACTTGCTCCGCTGAGGTGAACGGTGGTTTTGCCGAACAAGAGAAGATTCCAATTGGAACATGAAAGCAAAGGTCCGTGAGACACGGCGGCTGCCACATGTCCAGGTGTCGAAAACTACTACGATCTACTACAGTGATATTGGTGACAGCGATGACAGCTCGCTTATGGATCCCATTTGCTGTCCAAGATTGCTCATACGTATGGGACGTTGGATGGAGTTGTTGCCACTGCGGTGCAATGCCGAACAATGTCAGCCAAGGGTCCAATTAAGTCCTTGGGGAATTTCGAAGCCAATCCACAAGACCCTCACGTCATCCCCAAGTCCATAGTTCAAATATGTTCAAATTATGTTCAAACCCTAGGGCTCCAACTATCTCGGTTTCGAAGATGTTTGGGGTGGATGCCAGGGGGGCTAACCACCGAACCTGAGGATATGGGACAGGAGCCCAAACGGGTAAATGTGATGCTGTGATGATGCTTCCAATGCTTCCCCCTCTTCTTGTTCGAGATTTCATCTCAACCATCTCACCCCACTCATTCCAAGTCACTGGATGCCACAGCAAACCACTGCAGGTTCCCTGAAGCTCGTGAAGCAAAAGCAGTGCATCGTGGTACCTCAGAACTCACGTGGCTTGAAGCTGAAAAGAGTCCCTTGGGTCACACCCTGGGGGACCACCTCCCTTTCTTGTTTGTTATATACTTGGCACCTCAACCAGTCACGCTGAAACAGGGCACGGCGGGCTGAGCCGCGGCGAACGGAGCAAGGAGGCTACGAACGTAGCTCCTGGCCATACTACTATAACAAGAAGCTACTAGGAGCAAGGGCATCGCTACTAGTAACAAAGGGAGTTACTACTAGTAGCATTGTTGCTACTAGTAACAAGAAGCTATAGTAGAACTTGACCCGGCAAAATGATTCAAAGACCTTGGAGTCAGCATCCTCCACCTGTGGGGGTTCCTCTTCAATCCTCTTGGCATCCTTACGGACGGACAAACGAAGCCATCGAGGTCTGCATTCAACTAAAGGAAGGTCGGCCAACTTGGAATTCTGCACCAATCCCCTTCTGATTTGGCTCTCTTTGCCGATCCCAAACCCATTTTCGAGGTGGTTGATGGTGATTCGATGAATCCGGGGCATGCGGAAGAAAAGCAATCAAATAAACCTTTGTCCAAGAGCTTGAGCATCTCAAAAGCAGAACCATCCAGTCGCGACGTTTTATACCTAGAACCGAGACATGACCGCTGTTTTGATAGGAAACGACAAAGACTATGGTTTAGCTCCAAAACAGGAGTCCCTCAGGTTCTAGGCAGACTGCACGGCCACTTCATGCCCCCAACATCCCCACGGAAGACTCCCTGTCTGGCGCGTGTACGGCCCACGACTCGGCCCACGTCCAGGCCGCTTGCAAATTCCGGCCACCGTCCGCCACAAGGTCTGCAATCGCATGGAGGCCCAAATGCAAGTCGCCTGGCGCGGAGGTGGAGTCCCCCACCTTCCCAACAACAGGTCCCAGTTATATTGCATTGAGGTGCTTGAAAAGGAATCAATGTAGACATAATAATATATCATAATATATTGCATACATGGAGTGTGTGGATTGAGTCGCCATCACTGACCTGGAATCCGACAGTTGAGCCAGTGGCTCTTCAGCCCTTGACTTGCTGATGGAACCCATTGCTCAAGAAGTTGCAGGCGACCCTTGTCTGGCGAAAGCACTAAGACGTCTTGAGCAGACCTTGTCTGGCATTTGCCACTTTCACCATCCACATTTGTTGAAACTGCAACCATGCTCGATCAGCTTCACGGTCTCCGTGTGCCCTCTTTTTGCCAACAGCAGCGACGTGGCACCACAGTCTTGGATGCTTCCCTCCAGCAGGGCGTCACATGAGCGACATCTGCACGCGCAGCTAAGCAAGTTCGTTCGGCAACCACGTCTCTGTGTCAAGGAGCTGGCGCTCGGTTGGCACGAAGCACCGGCGCGAAAGGAGGCGGACCAGCCGAAGATGGCCCTGATTTGCAGCTGCCAGAGTTGGCGGTAAGCCGGTAAGCAGTGATGAAAGGGGGCATTCACAGCAGCCCGAAGGTGGAGTAGCACATCAACCATGGACTCATATTCCCGAAAGGCAGCACTGGCGAGTGGTGTCCCATCACAAGAATGTCCATTTGGATCAGCTCGGGCTGAAGCTAAAATCTGAACCACATCATCGTGACCGAGCTTCACGGCAGTTTGAAAAGCTGTTCGCCCCTGCTCGCTTTCCGAGATCGCGGACGAGCCAACCGAGCGACGTCTGCGGACGTCCGGACGAGCGACGCCTTTGGCGCCGTGCCGCTTGGATCAAAGGTGCTGGAGGAAACATGGACGTCGGCCACAAACATCACAAAGAAGCACACAAGACAAGAATAACGGCGCAGTTTCCAATGAAAGAACGACAACAACATGAAAGTAACATGTGCGCATGCGCCTCCAAACATGTCCGCTACAGTACTATAGTGGACCCCTGAGTAGCTCGCGGGGTTTGCACGACAAGAGAGAAGCAAAGTCTGCACTTGAGCAATCCCAAAAACATCAAAAACATGCATCTTCAGAAAACATCAAACAATCTCTCAAACACGAAGGCGCTGTGAAACTCTAAGGATCTGAAGTCACGTCCTGTACATCCTATAGCCTCCCTCCCCCTAATTACACCCGCCCGCGTTCCTTCCCCACCTCCCCTGGCCTCCCTCCCGTTTCGGCCCGAAACGGCCTTCCACTGCGGGGGGCTGTAGCGTGACCAGTTTCGAACTCCGCCAGGGACGGAGAAGTTCTGGGCCAAGTTCTTGAACTCATCCATCTAGGCCGATGGATGAATAAAGTGCAAATGGGATGTGATATTCAAGGTCATTGGAGCTGAACTTCAGGGTAGTTGAGTAGTCGGGTAATTGGAGCTGAACTTCAGGGTAGTTGAACCTGGGTAATTGAACTTCAAACATTTCGCACATGCGAACGAACGATTGAGACATCAACAGCTGGCGTTTCTGTCAGGTTGATCGTATCGCCAACTTCCAAATGGTAAGAACAACGTTTAATTAAAAGTTTCAACTGATCAGAGTCGGGTTGATCAGAGTTGATCGTTTTCTCCTTTTCTGTCCTCAGCTTCATGCTTCATGCTTCGTTCCATGCGAGTCAGGGTGTAGCAGTAATGAAGAGAAACATCTGCAGATCTTGTGTCATTTTGCATGTTGCATCATTTTGCCAAATCTGAAGGGCTTTGTGAACAAAGATGAACAAACTGCCTACCCGTTCAATCTATGCCACTGCTGTTCCACCGCTATCCACCACTCTCCATGTCTCCTTGTTCCACTCCAGCTTCCGACCTTGGGGGACTTGGATGACTTGGTTTTTGGGGGTTCCACTCACTTCACTCTCGATGCCCGCCTTCCACCCGTTTTCTTCGCTCCATGTGCCGCTACCAGGTGGCGTATTTGATGCGTAGGTAATCGATGAGATGGCCCAAGTCCCTCGCCTCGCCCGGAGCCTCGGTCTGTGCGTCTTCACAAGACACGTGATGACAGGCGCGCGTGCCCTGCCTTTCTTAGAAAGGCCACGTATGGCCACGTGGCGTAGAAGAAAGAGCCATCTCAACCCCCAAAAAGAACGTCAACTGCCTGGACCCTCCATGGGGTGTCTAATGAACTACCCCACACTACCTATAGGCTTCCATTGGGCACCCTTGGAGGGTCCTGGTGTGTGCCTCACTGTACAAATCCTCCGGCTGAAGCAGAATGGGCTCCTGAGGATCGCAGAACGACGAGCACATCGCGGAACGTACGGTGTGGAAACCGTCGAACAGCCGAGGAAGGCATCCAACGAGTCACTGTGGCCACGGGGATCAATGGTGAACGTCTGTGCATACAATCATGAACCTCACCACTCACCACAGTAGGCCATTGCATCGATTTAAACCATGCAACCTTTAAACAAGGAGGTGTGGAATCGTGTGGACATAGAGGGCACAAAAATCAACAAAAAAAAAATATAGATCCCCGGCCACGATTTGCGATTGTGCGATAGTCTTCACAGGAGAAAACCTGGTCGTCGCTGATCCCTACACACCCTACACACCCGATCACTCAGGCCGCATGGCGGTGTAGCCGTGTGGCTCCACGACCGAACGACCTGATTCTGTCGCTCCTCGCCTGAGATCCGAACGACATGTTGATTGACTGGTGCGACTCCGATGTTTCGGGATGTTTCGGGAAGCTTCGCACACAAATTGAGAGTCGATTTTATCCAGCCACCCTCAGCCACCCTAGAAGTCGCACTTCCGTCAGTGCTTGTGTTGTTCTTCTCTCCAGACTTGATGCTTTGACACCAAAAAGAACGCCAAAAAGGAGTCGCACGAGTCGTGATCTATCTATCTCGGAGCTCTCTCCGCGTATCAAAACCGTCCTCTCTCGAAGGCCTTTCCACCGCCCCGCCCTCATCCGTCCTCGAAGTGTGGGATCACCGCCGTCAGCGTCGGCACATAGGGCACTCGATAGGGCCGCGGCATCGGCAGGCCGAGTCCTGGCACGAATTCACCCGGGAGATCCCTTGGAATCCCGGCTGTCCAAATACGCTTTGGTGAGAGCCCGGAATTTTCGCGTGTTGGTCAAAAAGGTCCGACCTGAGGGCACGTATGGATTCTTAGGGCAGCCTCCGAATCAAATTTTTGGGAGGTCTGTCCGAAAATCCTTGACTCAGGTCGACGTCGAATTTGAGGTTTATTAGCAAGTGTCCTCGGTGTTCTTAAAATGTTTGGTGATCTCGACGGATCTCATTTGGATTCATTTGCTGATCGTTTTGCTTGTTTCTTCCCTTTTCGCCTGTTCGACGTGATGGCACTCCCTTGGAGACGTGAAACATGGCGAGAAATGTGGACAAAACTGCCAACAAGTCGCGGCACTACATGGCGGCACCAGTCAGTCCGCATCAGTCCACCAAAGAGCTGCAATTCTCAAAGGCAGCAATTATTCCAATGTGCTTCACTGAGTTCGGAATGGTCAAGTTCACCAAAGAGCTGCATCCCATAGAGGCACAATCCCCAATGTGCGTCACGGAGTCTGGGATGGTCAAGCTCTCCAAGGAGGTGCAACTCTCAAATTCACCATTCCCAATGTGCATCACGGAGTCTGGGATGGTCAAGTTGACCAAGGAACTGCAATTGCGAAAGACATTATTCCCAATGTGGGTCACCGAGTTTGGAATAGTCAAGTTCGCCAAAGAGCTGCATTGAAAAAAGGCGCCATCTCCAATGTGGGTGACTGAGCCCGGGATGATCAAGGTTGCCAAACAGGTGCAAGACAGAAAAGCTTGATGCCCAAGGCGAACTCGTCCCAAGGTTGTCCTTGCTTGATTTGCTGCTTCAGTTCGCGCCTGTCATCTCGCATGTGACTGCAAGAACCAGGATTTCACCACTTGGCAGTAGAGGCTAATTACGAATTACGAATGTGGATTTGAGTTGATTGTTTGTTGTGGATTGTAGACACACACGGACGCGTGCTCTTCAAAAAATACAGATGAACATCTAACAGTGTCGACACAAGGAGAAACCATTGAAGAAACTGATTCATTGTCTCTGGTCTGATCAGTGCTGTGAAATGGGTGATTTGGGTGTTTTTCCGAAGCGTGTGTTCGCACAGGTACGGAAAGTCGGGGAACTGTGTTTTGACTAATTGCGACATGTGCACACAGTGCACGTCTATGTGGTCACCGTCCCAAGGGTGGCCAGCATTTTCCAGTCGCCACTGTTAGAACAACTATGTTCAATCTTTGCACGAGGCTCACAACTGAGTTGAGACAGACGCCTACATCCGCCGGAGACATACTTGAACACATGTGAGGTTCAAAGATTTCCGTATTTTGGTTGACTTTGTGCAGCATCTAAGTTACTTTATGTACTTCGAGTGGTCCCAACCCCGAAAGGCGATTTGGAAGAAAGCAGGGCATCAAGGCGGACACGCGGACTAACACAATGTTCTGACGATTGGTCTGGCATCAAGTCTGGTTTGTGCTCTGACACATCATCCATCATAAAGGCTGGGAATTGTTTTGGACTGTGTTCCGGCGTTCTTGTTGCCACGGGTTCTAACATTTTTCCTGCTGCCAAGAGCGACATTTGCTGTGACATATGGTCCGGCTTTGGTCCTGGCATGTGCAGGACATGTATCCGACATTTGTTACACCATCAAAGAAAGCGTCCATCTTGCACACATCTATCTGGCATAAGTTGTGGCATCCTATCTGGCCTATCTGGCATGTAAGGCATCCTACCTGGCGTAGACTCTGGCATACATTCTGGTATTCCATTTGGCATATACTCTGGCATTCTATCTGGCATACATGCTGACATTCTATTTCGCATAAAGTCTGGCATTCTCGCGCTGTCAAAATTTGGCCTTCTATCTTGCACATGGTCTGCATACAATCTGGCATATACTCACATTCTATCTGGCATACACTCTGGCATTCTATCTGGCAAAGCTGCTTGCATCCGATCTGGCGTACAGTCTGGCATTCTTTCTGGCATAGTTGCTGTCTGGAATATATTCTGGCATTCTATCTGGCATACATTGTCTAGATGGAATTCTATTTGGCAAGTTCCGGCGGGCCCACTGCGATCCAGCACTTGCAGTTGAGGTCCGGCGGAGGAGGAGGAGGACATCTCTGATAAAATTTATCAACCCTCACCTGGCAGGTGGGGAAAAACAGAAGCAAACACTGTAACAAGAACCTATATATATAATTATATCTGTAAAATAGTTGATAAATGTTGTTAATCATTGCAAAGAATTGACATGATTCTGGTCAATGTCTGGTGAATTTCTTTTGTAAGAGATTGTTCCACTGACGAGATTGTTCCGCAAATGCTCAGCGAACTCGGAACTTCCCCGGTCCTCGAGAAAGTGCCAGGAAACGCCACTGGAGCTCTTTGTTCACTGGCCATTCCTGACGAGGCTGAAGGAGGCAGGGGGTGGCAGAAATTCTCAAACGTCACTTTTTTCACAGCCGGGATTCTTTAATGTGATGGCCCTTAAATTCCTTGAAAACGACATTCCAAGACTATACCAGGATATAATATAGCTTCACATGAAACCTGTTTTGATTGAAGGGGAATCGGATGACTGATCAGCTCATATCAGCTGCTGATAGCTGGATCTCTGTAGTCTGATAGTTGGATGAGGGTCATTTTCTTGGGATTTACGTCCCGTGCAGGTGGGTGATGATGGTTAGGTTGCAGGCCGACATCTCAACATAGTGATAATATTTTACCAACTGTTACTGGTAATGGGCTACACCTAGATCTATGCTATTTTGTGTTGATTTGAACCCAGGCCCTTCCGTGGCTGAGCATGGAAACGACCCCTCAACGCCAAGGGGCTCTGGTGTCGGACATGTAACAATAGTGCTTGCTTGCCTTGGAGCAAGCAAGGTGGAACCACTCAGGAGTGGATGCTCAAGTTTCACAAAAAGCTTCACGCAAAAACATCTAAGACACTCTTTGCTTGAGTAGGTTGACAAGTTTGAGTCCGCCACCTTTCACCAAAAAGAATCCTCACATTCCACTCCTTGAAGTGCGGTCCACCCTCGGGGCCCTGACCCGTTCCAAGCAATTCTCGCGATTGAACAGCACGGGTGGCTCCGGCTCCTGCATGGTTTCAGTGAGTCGAACCGATTTGTGATCCATTCATGTTGGGACAGTTGGATCACTTTCTGCTAGAATATGCTTGAATATACAGTTAACACCAATACCTAACCCTCATGCATGAATGAAGCCCCCAAAAAGCGAGGTTCGTCTGTGTGAAAGGCTCTTATTTTTTCAAGTTGCTAGAGGAAACAATTGTATTTCCCTCAGCATGAAACTGGAGTCACTGGAACATAGTAACATTTGGGAGCCACAACAACCTGAACGTTCCACCCAAACTTGCCTCGGACATGACATAGTCATAGGACAGCTCGCCGCTGTCTCGCACGTTGATCTTCTGCTCTTTTGTCCTGTGGATTCGAGTTGGGCACAGCAGGCGAAGTGACGAAACGTGACTCCCGGACTATCCAAAAGAGGGTTTCCCCACCTCCCACGATATAAATGGATCGTTCTGCAAAACTGAAGAACTGTTCAACCCTACATCGGGAAAGGAAATACAACATGCAAGCCAATATGTTTAAAAGCATTTTAAAACAAATCCCACATTCACAATCTCCAGTGATTGTTCAGGGGTCAAACGGTCAAATATATTCATTGGTCAGTTTGTCGCTAGTTGTCACAGCCCTCAACCATGGATCCTCCAGAATGCCAAGGTACATGTGGTGAATCACTAAATTCCAGGTCTTCGCAAACGCCTGTTTGGCCGATGGCGCATATCTCCTCGGCGGGGATGCCCAGTTCCGCTCGGAAGGGGATGCATGTTTGACATGTCCAAACCCTGGAGACATGTTGGGAAGGCTGAGACACACCTTGTTAAGCCTCCGGTTCAGGTGACCTCAAAAGAAAACTCGGCTTACTTAAGTCTTTGCGTTATAATGATCGATGCGTGTTCTTCCCCAGGTCATCCATCATCCTCTCGCAAGCTCCAAATCCACCATATCTCCTATCTACCTACATCTATCTCCTATCTACCCATATCTGTCCATCCATCCATCCATCCATCCATCCACCCACCCATCCTTCCATCCATCCATATTATATCTATCTATCTATCGATCGATCTATCCATTTACACGTATATATGTATCTATTTATCCACCTATGTATCTATCTAGCTGACTATTTATCTATATATATCTATACATGTATATCACACCTATCTAAGTCTATCTATATTTAAGTATTTATGTATCTATCTATCTATCTATCTATCTCTATCTACCTACCCCCTGGAAGACTAACATGGACCCTGGAAACCACTGGTTGGTAGAGGAAAACACTCTTCCAGGGGGCCATTGTCAGGGTCTATGTTAGTTCTTGGGAATGTATATTTCTATCTATCTATCTATCTATCTACCTACCTACCTATCTATATTGTCTGTTTATCATTATTTACATGTCCATCAAAATATTTATCTAAACACCTATCTATTTGAATATGTATCTATGTATTGATCTTTATCTATGTCTATGTCTATCTATTCATCTATCGATGCTGATCACTTTCTATATATCTATCTATCCATACCTATATCTATCTATATCAATATCTATATCTACATATCTATCTGTCTATGTCTCTATCTGTCTATATGTTCTATCCATCTATCTATCTATCTATCTATCACTATCCATCTACCTGCCTACCAGCATCTACCCATCTATCCTGGTATCTCTCCCTCTCTCTCATATGGTTCACCACCCACCAAACTGCAAAACAAAACTACCGTGCCAGCCCGCCAGCGCCCGCTTCCACTCGACCGCGGGGACCTTTTCGCCCGAGGCGCAGGACCTTCTCCTGAAAGCGCCAGGGCAGCTCGTGGACGGCATCTTCTAGCGCGAAGTGGCAGACCCGGCAACCGCGCCTCGGGGTTCCGGGGGCAAAACCGCCCGCCCCATGCGCCCGACCCCGCACGCCGACGTCGGGTGCCCCGGTCGGAGCCGGCGACGGATCCGTGGAAAAAAGCAGGCATCCCTAATGGATCCACTGAAACCCTAGACTTCCGTTCGACCATTAAAGAAATGGGAACGACCTGGTGTTTGTAGTGTAACATCCTTAGTTGATTCGGGATTCAGCCTATTATATTAATGGTGGTTGGAAGCCTAGGGGAAAGTGAAGTGTCCCAGGCACCTGACGGAGTCGGAGCTGGGATTCCTGACGGAAGTGCCCAGTCCTGCCCAGTCCTGACAGGAGGATTTACTGCCAGCTTGTGGCTTGATAGCTACAGAGTAGAGAGTGGACTGAATAGGAATGATAGGGGATCTCTATTTTCCTGCAGACATCGGAACTGCGGTACGTCTGCTTCGCATTTTCCTGCTTCTTTCTCTTCAGTACGCAGCTCGAGTCTCGAGTCTCGCAGCTCCGAGTGATTTGGCCAAAAAGGACATCCCAGAAGATTCCATTCGGCATCCACCCAAAAGCTGGCCAACCTGCAAGCCCAAGTGACTGACTGAGGAAGGCAGCAACTCCAAGCAAGCTGCAGCCCACGGTAAACCAAAGCTGGGTGTCGGCGCAAAAAATGAAAAAGCTGGAAAACCAAAGCCAAATCCTCAGCTTCACAATGGATCTGGGTGATTGAAATGGCGACAAATGCTGTCTTCTGGGTGGGAGTGGAAGTTTGCTGGATGGTGCGATGGTGCTTAGAGCTCCACAAAGGGATGCACCCAATAGTCCAGGATTTTTTAGTATCATGTCATGAATTGTTATTCCTAATTTGACTGAAAACTCTTTGAACACCTCCCTTCCTTCAAGACATTTCAAGACTCCAAGCACTTCTCGTTGCCAAGCTCTGGTCCTTCACAAAACGGATAGGGGCTAGCTGTTTGCTTTGGCTGCTGTTTCTCTGGGGGTTCTCCGGTTGCTTCCTGGGTCAAGTCGTACTTGTGACTCAACTTGCGACCTAGGCTTGAAAAGCAGCATTCCGATTCCCCTTCTTAATATACTATCGGTCGGTTCACTAATTGATTGGTGTGAGACACCATGTGGCATACCCTTCGTTCAGTTGAACCTCCTGCAGTCTTCTATGTTTGTTCTTTTTTCGGGCACCCATTGAATTCAACGAAACACACAACCTGAACTCAACGTTCCTCGACTCAAGCACTCGATTTGGTGGCCGAAGTGAATACAATGGGTCTGGTGCATCAGAATCGGAAGACCTGCTTGCAGGGGGGTCGAATGGATGAGGTGTTCCGGTTTTCCTATCAATTTCAATACACACACATCGTCATCCATCGTCTATATTCCCCTTTTCTCCACCCACTTGTTCAGTCCCAACCGTTTCAGGAAAAAGAGGCCAGATCAGCAAGTCGCGGGTCCACACCGTGCTGTACCAGGCGATCCTGAGATCGATCCACGCGCTCGCCGATCGATCCGAAGATGCGCGGCGTGGTGCGGCGTGAGGATTCTGTTTGGGGAAACATGAAAAAAGAACCCGGGAGCTTCTTCACTTGGGTTGTCGAGCGTGGTTTTTCCCAAGATACGCCTGAAGTGTTTTTCAGGCTGGATGACATCGAAACTGAGACCTATAGGCCGACTGAACTCGTGAAGTGTCTCCTTCATTCTGGTCGCATCAATGGCTCGTGGCCAATGGCTCATGGCTCTGAAACATGAAGGTTGGCCTGTCAGAAGTGCTTGAAGCACTTGGAGAAAGCACGCTTTCTCCTGTTCACCAACTTTCACCAGGCGATGTTTCGTCACTTCCCAGGTGGGACCCGTTTTGTGTCGCCGACAGCAAGAGAGCACAGATGTTTCAAAACTAAAAAAGCTACTGTATGAATGAGCCCCGAAACCACAATTTGTTGTTTGCCGTGTAGATGATTGACACAAACGTAGCTGCCTTCCAAATGAACAGCTGGTGTCTCATGACCGGCGAAACCCCGACATTGAGGCTCCTGGCATCTCCACAAAAGGGGAAAAGGAGACCCCTGATCCAAAAGAAGATCTCATACAGCACGTCTATGTCGCGCGCACGCAACTTATAGGGAGGTTTTGGTCTTGTTCTTCCTGACCGAGGAAGGGTTCCATGACACTAGCAATAGATTTCAACCCGATGGACGATTGAAAACCCAAGTAGCGGTCGTGTCAACACCACCAGGGTCTCTTGACCGTGACACGCAACACAAAACCAAACATGTGCAGCCCGTGTGCAGAATGTGTGATCTAGATTGTCACCACATTCCTGGTGGCGCAGTTACAACACAGTCCCACAGTTATATAGCAGTCCAGGCAAGACCGGAACGAGAAAAACGCCTCGCTCAATCAAATTGATATAAACATATAAACATATTTGTTTAATGACCAACATGCGATAAACACATGGTTGGTGAGGGTCTCGGATTCGGTTTCTATTATGACTGTCTATATGTGAGTGCGTGTGTTCCATAAATATCATTAATCGCTTTGACATGTGCAATATGACCATGTGACACAAAATGTTACAACTGAGCCATCTCAATCGATTCCCAATGCCCTAGCTGCACCGCCTCGCCGCTGTGGTTTTTTCAGTTCAACCTTACCAGCGCAATCTCAAGCCGAGCGACAAAACGTCGCGTGAGGTGGCTCGGCCCAAAGGCTCCAGCTGCAGATCCAAAATCAGCTCCTTGGTCGAAAGATCTGACTGCCCACCCGAATGAACCCCGCCATGGCTGCTGCACTTCAAGAGCTTCAAGGTGGAGGGTATTTCTTTTGAGCACCAGGTGAAGGTTGTCCAAGACACATGTTCCCAACAACCACTTCTGTGCAAGAATCTTGCGGTTCTTTTGCTCGAAGCAACAAAAAACACAATTTTGGTTCGATCCTGTCTACATTTGGCAGTTTGTGCAAAAGGGCCTTGCACAAAATTAGGTGCCAGCCCTGTGCGAACCTTGCCGGATACCACCTGCCTATGCGTTCAATCAAGGGCATAGCGGCATAGCTAGCATAGCGCTACTGAGTGTCAAAATAGCCGCATCCTTTTGGGCCCAGCAAGTCTCAAGGAACCTATGCTGAACATGTCCAGATGTAGTCTGTAAATACAATGAAGTCTAAGCCTGACTGGCCAGAAACAAAGACAGGGAACACGTTTTTTCTGCTTTGCGAGGGGTGTGGTTTACATGTTTGCACGAAGCGAATTAGCAGCACTAAAACTCATAACTTGTTTCAGCCAGAACTGCACATCTGATCCCTGACCGTACTTCTGATACATCAGTCGTTTTCGTGACCTTCTGCAAGAGCTGTTGGGGCAACTTTATGAAACGGGCGCCCTCTGAGAAACTTTGACTTTGCCAACTTCAAGCATGTTGCGCCAGTCACCAAAAACGAAGGAAGACTTGGCAAAACAAGGATCTGGCCCTTGGGGCTGCGACCTATGTAGGGAACACAACATCCTTTGATGTCAAGGTCTTCAAGTCAGCCACCGCGCTCGCAAGGCTCACAAAGCGTGGCAAGGGAGAAGCCACGGCGCCAGAGCCAGCAATAAGGTAGAAGCAGCGTTCGGATCGACCAGCCGAGCCTTTCATGCATGTCAGAACCGACCTTTCAATAACTATGGGATGGGCTTTTCCGACTCAGTCCGACTCCAACCCTGCTCAGGGCCCGATGGAAAGTTCCGAATTCTGGGATTTGGGCAAGGAGCTCTGTCCTGCAGGCACCGTGTCTTCCCCTCCTGTTGAGAGCAAGTGCGGCACCCCACACAGCGCACAGTGCGGCACCGATGGAAGGTTTCGACTTCTTGCGTGCCCGCTCCGAATGCTTGCAGCATCAACCCACAGGTGGGCTCCTGACCGCAACAGCGCGCAGCTTCCTGGATTGGAGCTAGGCAGCATGCCCCAACCAAATTGCTAGACTGAAGGCACACGGCCAGAAAGTACATTAGTTGATGAGATCTCCGACCTCCTGTCCAAGACCAAGTGCGTCACCTCCGCATCCACCTGTGGCACCTCTAGCCCTTTCACACCATGAACTGCCCAGCTCTTGATGTCGATGCGGTTGAAGTACAACACATAACCATCTGCCACTCTATCTGCCTCACAAACAACGTGCGCTGGTAGCGCAGCTCACACCTGCAAGTGAAGGACGGCGAGTTTTTGTCGGCCTCCTTTGCCTGATTTATGTCTGGTGCAAGCCCAATCACCTCGCAACTTCCTGCTCATTGCTCATAAATGGCTGTGGGTCAAAACCAGGGGACCTTGGTACCACGACTTGACTTGCGCAAAGCTCCGAGCGCCCCACGCACCCCTTGAAACACAGTGGTATTGGGTATGGAGGGGGTGAAGAGTGGTGAATGGTGTAAAATATCAGCCTGCAAAGGTTTGGACATGTGTCAGGTGCTGCCAACACTGAGAAGAGAGTTGCCATAGAGCAAAGATCAGCCTGTAGCCTGTGGCCACCTACAGTGGGAAGCTTACAGTTGAGACACAGCTGTACACCTTGGCGTTGTCAACTGGCTACAGTGAGCCGATGAGCGGCTTAAGGCCAACTATCAGAGGCTCAAGCTCGTACAAGAACAAAGCTCGCAGGCAAATTCAATTTCCCTTGCAGCCGGCAAAGGTCAGTATGGAAACGTGCTTGACTGTTCATCAAGCACGCCACTATGACACTACATAGGCAACTGTACACAAAACATTGGCTCGAGTTTGCATGCACTCTTTCTTGCATAATATTTGGATGCGGAATTCGCAGACCAAACATCAAGGACGAAGCTGACCGCACATATGGCGTGCAAAGGAATCACAGAGGGTGATGTATTCATAAGATTCCAGCGACACAATCTCAAGAAAAACAGGGATCGCAGGGATCACGTGCACAGCAGCCGGAGTTGCATTGCTTGATCACACTCTTGTATTGCTCACTGAGCATAGCATGGCCCAGATTGGTACCCCCACGCACTGTGGGAGCGACGGCGTCACCGTGCCCAGGAAAGGCTGTAGGTTTGGGCCTCAACGCTACCAGGCCTTGGCTACCTACCTGGAAGGTCTGGCAACATAGTGGACTGGTCAGGCTCCAGGTTTGCATCCCAAAAGGCACCGATCGACCCTCGTCACGACCTCGACCCCATCACCCAGGCACGAAAACGGCGCGGAAAAGGACCACGGCAATGAGGAACTTGGCGGCGAGCACCACAAACCAAAAGAAATACCTATCGGCCAGTTGGCTGACCCTGGGGAGAACCGGGAACCATCGCACACCTGTTTTCAGGAATCCATGCCACCCCAAAGTGGCTCCTGGTCACGGAATGAGGCTCGTGTTGGCTCTCTCAACATCCAAATGTGTCCTGTATTATCCTGTCATTGGCCCAGGAACCAAAGAACTGATCCAAGGACTCTCTTGAATTCTAAGCAAAAAATAATTGAATAAACGATGATCACTTTTGAGATCATCGATAAACAGATTGTCCGTCCGATTGTCCTTCCTTGGTGTCACCTGTTGGAGACGTGTCGTAGCTCAAACATGTTGAAGGTATAGTACCTTTTCCTCGGTGACGTTTCTCTTACTGCAAGGAGTTGCAAGTAGAAATGCTAACGACTCAGGAAGGCATCCTGCACACATTGGCTGGCTGGTAAACATGTCCCGTTGCCATCAGGGGCTAAAGGGATTCGGATCAAACCCGTAGACTCTCCCAGGCCCCGAGCACCGTTCCCCATCCTCCGAGTTGGACCTGGCTCCCAGCCAGGCACCCACCACCACCATGCCCTTACTAATAGCGATGCCCTTGTTACTAGTAACTTCTTGCTACTAGCAGTAATGCCCTTGTTACTAGTTACTAGTAGCGATGCTTTTTGGGGTCTTCATGTTCCCGTTCGACCCTTTTCTCGGCAAAGCCGGGGCCGTTCTTGCGGGGTCGTCTCGCACCTGACTACTTGCAGGCGACAAAGCCTACGAGGACGTACCTGTGCGAGCCAATACGTTCATGCAAAACGCAGAGGAACCTGACCACCGACAAGTTGGGCCGGTGTGAATGCCTCTTCTGTTGGGCCTTTGATCAAGTCCTGTCAAGACATGTCAACACTTATTGGTGACTCATTGGTTTAGGGGAACCCTAAACCCATCTATAGACCCTAAACCCTCGGGATCATACTGCACGAGCATATCACATGACCTGGGATTCATTGGGACTTCAAGTGTAATTCATGCGTAAGAACCAACTCTAAGAGCTTGACCAACCCTCAAAGCATCTCAAGACATATCCAGTTGGGCCATCACACAAGGATGTGATGATGAAGGAGGAGACCCCTTCACGACCATGGAGAGAGTGCCACCCAAATCTAGAGTACTTGTTGAATTTGTCCTGTTATACTTTTGATTGAAAAAAAACGAACCTTCATTTGGATTGTAAAACCTCTATCGCCCTCACTTCCGACCTGTCCCTCGGTCGGACAGCGTAGTGACGCCTCCCTGCGGTCAGGACGTCACAAGCCGAATTGGAACAACATGGGACAAGCATGGGAAAACCTCTTCTACCCATCGCGCTTCAGAAGGTTCTCCCTGGAGGTGAAGCAGTGCAGCCAGCTTTCAACTGAAACTGCATACGACATGGGAAAACCTCTTCATCTCAGGGCTTGAACTCATCGACCGTCTCCATGTTCGTGCATCGGTGACCGGCCGGACCGACGCCCGGTGATAACATGCCGCACGCCTGGTAGGGCACATCGGAGGTGCGGTTGGCAAAGAAGAGCAAGGAAATAAGGGCCCAAACACTCACCAAGCCATGAGCAATCAAAAGGTATCGGATGATCTGCTGGTCGATGTCGATCCCCTGGAAGCGCAATTCGATTAATGTGAACACGAATGGCTGCCCTGTCAGCCTGTGGCTCCTCTTTTCCTTTCAGGGAATCAACACCCCATTCGAAACTCCACCAAGGACCACCAGCCCATGGAAGCAACTTCAACATATTATATATATATATCATATCTTCCCGTTGCAATTCATCATTCTATAAATATGTTACTGTAATATCATTAGTTATTAACACACAATAACTAAAGTCAAATAAACATGATGACATACACCATGATATACCGATCCACCCCTCCAGAGTCCGGCCACCGTGTGTCGCCCACCTGTGAGAAGCGGACCGCCAGGTAGGTGACCAAGGGCGACAACCACAAAAGCCCACGGCTCAAGTGGGCGCACATACAGCCTGCGCGGTGGAATCACTGAATCACTAATAGCGATGGCCTCCAACCTAATAGGGATAACCTCCACCATAGCCTCCACCCTAATAGCAATGGCCTCCACCCTATGTGTCTGCTGTCTGCTGGTTTGCAAAATGGTAAAAAAATAAAAGAACAACATGGCTGAAACAAAAACGGATGACATTATGTCATCCATGTCCTCCCAATTGGCAAAAACACACTTATCAACTTCCAACCTGTGTTCACAAACAACACAACAACTGAGGTTCTGTCACGTGGTGTCAAAGCAGAAAACAACAATGCGTCAAAGGAATGTCGGCTCCCTTCTTTGACATTCCTTTGGCTGGATTTTTTTGACACCCAAAGCTCACCAAACAAAGAGAAGAAACTCCACCATGCATGCAACCATCCTGAGCATACACGTGCAACCCATCTGACCATCGTTTTGATAAGGAAAGAAACATACAAAGGTTTCACAGTAGATGGCACAAACCCCATGATGTCCTTTTGATGGGGGTCCATGTGAACGACCTCTTGGGGTCTGTGCCATCTACTCTCAATTTTTATCTTTTGGGTGGTTGGTCATCCAACCTAGAGGACACTCAGCTTCTGGGTATACCCACATTGTTCAGCTGCATCGTTCCCAGGGTAAGGTTCGTCAAGCTTGGTGGAAGTGCATCACATTCTTCACCCAAAAGCTATTTGAAGCACCCTTCTTCAACTGCATCGATGCTCATGGAAAAAGTAAATGTATATATAAATAATTACTACTGTGTTTCCCACCACCTGGCCACTTCGTTGTACAACAGCGAAAGCCACATGGCCCTTGGCCTATTCCTCGGATGGAGCTGCGCAAGGCTGGCCCGGAGGTATAGATTCGAGCCCTGAGGAAGCTGGCGAAGCGAGAGCGTCAAGGGTTTACACCGTTTGGGCACACTCCAAAGAACTAACATGGAAGTGGAAGGCATGGCCCCTTGCGGCACGCCGGATCATTTTGGAAACCAGAAACGGATCATTTTGGAACACACATCCTTCGGTAGTGCTTTGAAGGCATCATGTGTTAGTTAAAATGAGCGTTTCGTACGAGACTTCCTCCAAGCGAGCCTTGCAAGTCTCTAAAAGGAGCGTTTTGTATGAGACTTCTTCCAAAACTGAGCCTTGCATGTCTCCAAAACGAGCGTTTCCTACGAGCTTCTTCCAAAAGTGACTCGTGCATTGCTCCAAAAGGAGCGTTTCGCACGAGACTTCTTGAGCGTTTGGGAGACTTCCTCTAAAAGGGCTTCACGTCTTTAGGGTCTCTTTCACTCCTTTAGGATGTCTTTGAGTTTGACTTAGGGCTTCACATCTTTAGGGTCTCTTTTGGCTTTGGTTGGGGCTTCGCTCCTGTAGGGTCTCTTTTGGTTTGACTCAGGGCTTTACTTCTTAGGGTCTCTTTTGGTTTGGGCTTATGGCTATGCTGCGTTAGGCTGCCCAGAAACCACTCCCCAGAAACCACTCGCCGGAAACCACTCGCCAGAAACCACTCGCCACAAACCCCTCCCCAGAAACCACTCCCCAGAAACCACTCCCCAGAAACCACTTCCCAAAAACCACTTCCCAGAAACCAGTCACTCCCAGAAACCATTCCCCAGAAACCCAAATTGAACCGCGTTCCAAAACGATCCAAAAACCGCGTTCCGAAACGAGCTGAATTCGCATTCCAAAACGAGGCGGCAGCCCTTGGAAGACCATGAAATCCACTACAAACAGGGGGTGCCATCCACCTCCATGTCAGTTCCAGGGAGAGTAAAACCCTTGTGAGTCAGCACTTCCCCGCAAAACCTCAATCAAGATCTCTCTTGATAATCTCTTTCTCCCCTGCTTCTGAAAACACCATCCGGACACTGCATCATGCCCTCAACCCCCAAACATCAAATCTTTACGACATCTTGCTACTGTTCGTGGGCCTGTTGCCCCAACGTGTTTCACGGATCAAGGAGTGGGGGCGTATGGGTACCAACCAAGCGAACTGGCGAACTGGGGGACGTTGTGCACGCCTCAGCCCAGTTCGGGTTCCACACCTCCAGGGGAATTCTGGATGATTTCTGGACGATTCAGCTGGGTGCCCTGAAGGGCGAGACAGACAACGATCGAAAACGGCTCCTCGATTTGTTGGTCAACCGAGGGGCACCATCAGCATTAGCGCGTGCAATGGTGCAAGCAATCCCAAGCCGCTGAAGCGCACAGCTATGCCGTGACCTGCTAAGGTTTCCGCATCATCCTTGGGCTCCTGGCGCGGGAACATGTGCCCCTTGAAAACCCGTTGAACATGTGTCTCGCAAGGAACCAAGCTACTTGTGCATTGAAAACACAAAGCATCGAACAAAGACACAAAGGCACTCCAAATCCCGCGAGACTGTTTATGCAAGCAATGGCCAATGATGAATCAGGGAGGAAGTTGTCTGAGCCATCAACCTCATTATTGCTCATGCACACATGTAGAGTATGACCAAGATTGAATTCTCCTCAGAATGTAAACTGGACATTTCAAAAATAAGCAATCTAGACCAGAGATTTGAACCATTTGCAAGGTTGACAAGCTGGGTGTCCGGTATACATGGAGAGAGGCCTCATCTTGGGGGAGTCTGGCCAAAATGCCAGTTGCCTGGTCAAAACTCGGAATGCTGTCATAGACGCGTAGCGTCACATAGTCTTCTGCTGTTTACGTCCGCTTTCTCGTCAAACGTCGTGACTCTGCTTCGGTTGTTCGTGGGACCGTGGTTCGCCGGAGAGAACCAATGGAACTTTCGAGTGGCTCCTAGTAGCGTCCTTGCTTCTAGTAGCGGTCTGCGAAACAGCTGGGATGCGAACAAGGAAAAACAACAGGTAGGGACGGTAGGGACATTACATATATTGCTGGCCTTATGAACTTTGAGGCTAATATCTGGGGGGGTCTCTGCAACAACCACCGAAAAAAATAGATGCGAGCTGTCCGCTCTACCGAAATACCCGAGTCTGGGGCTCTCCCTTCACGTGAGCCCATGACAGGCGATGCGTTTCGGCCAGATTGACGATTCAGTGGATGAGTTCAAGCTCTCAGACTTGTTCTGTCTCGTGAAGAAAACAAGATATAAACACAAACACACGGCTTGCCTCAGCTACCACGCATAAACCGGTGAAGAAGAGCAAGGTGTGAAGCAACCAAATCCTCACGAGGCGGAGGGATCACTCTCTTTGCGGAGGATAGATTTTCTCAGCACTCTTTGAAGTGCATGTAGATGTCAAATCGTGCAAGGCTGTTTATACATTTGTAGGCATCTTTAGTCAAATTGTTTGGGTGATGGTCTGTAAGTTACGATATACTATGTCTTCTAAATACAATGCTCTACACATTCCAGAGCTGCCAAAACAGGCTGCTTTTGAGATACACATAGATTGTGGGTGCTTTGAACAAAGTTGATTGAACAACTATCTAATTGACATAAATGTGTCTAGGTCGAAGACTGCCTTACGCCATCTTGACACGTGCCTTGCAGGAGAAAGCCTGAGGTTGTGTGATGGTGTCTCACTTGATACAATCAAGTGATAGGTTCGACCGATACAACTAGCACTATCCTCCCTCTAAAAAAATTGAAAAATGAACTGGAACATAGACCCCTGGAAGATCATTCTCTGCTACATTGGGGGATCTGCTCAGCTTCAATTTGTTTGAGAGAGTTAGTCACCAACTCAATCTAATGGCACGAAACAATTTACATGTCATCTGTCATCGCCCTGAGAGTTGTCATCCCACCGCGAGCCGACATGCCGGTAATTAGGGGGGACATGATATGAATCTGTATGTTCCTGGAACCCAGACATGACCTTTGTTTTGATAGGAAAAGACCATATTTGGGGTGGTTGGTGGTTCAAAATAGATGTCCTTCAGGTTCCAGGTTCCGTTTGCTCTTGGAGGTACCGCAGTTTCTGAACAGCCAAAGCTTTATGAGGTGCTGGCGAACATGCGAACTCGCACGCTCGTTCGCCACACCCCTTGTGCGCTAAAATACCACCTCAAGTCTCCTCTCCTGTGGGTGCTGGCAAACACGCCCCAGAAGGAATGCACCTGGCGGTGGGTGTCCGCTCTGAGCCCTTGATAACCTTCAATTTCGAGCTGTTCATATGCACGATCTGCTTGACTTCGGTCTGCTGAGAATGCACCAACTGAAAAGGTACACTATGTGGTTCTAAATGGTTCTGAGATATGAGTTATGAGAGTCAGTTGGCCAAAACATGACATTGACAAAGTTGAACAAGCGGTGTTAAAGCCAAATTGTAACAGACTTAAACGAATAACACAACAAATTTATGAGACCAAAATGGTTTTCTCGTTCCGACTTTCCGACGTTCGATGTTGCCATATGTTGCCCTGTGAAAGAGTTTATACGGTTGCCCCATGGTCACAAACTATTATTTTCACATACCTGTTCTCACTAGCAAATGCCCTTTGTGCAATAGTTCTCAATCATTTGTCTCCACTAAGCCTTCTGCATGAGAAGTACCTCGAGATTTCTCGAATCTTCCTTGATATTAGCACAGAGGGGTTGTTCAACCCATTTCCACAGAAAATGACCTTCTTCTAGAGGACCACTACCCATCCCATTTTCTGGCGAAAATACCAACAGTGATTTTCTCAATATACTCGAGAAGTTGGAAAACTGTAACTTTCCCTGACGGCAATGCGCTTAATATGCTGGAATGGGCAGTATGCACTTAAAATACTACCCTTACGTGTCAGGAACCCTGCTTCCGCCGTGCTCCCGGCCCAAAATGCTGCCACGTCAACTGCATCCCTTGCACTTCCTGCAGCGGGTCATTGGCGTCCTCTTCGATCCCACCTCGCGGTGTGTCTTGGTCTTCTGGCTGCTCAGCATCTTGCTGAGATTGAACTCCTGCAGCCAGATGATGAAAAAATAAGGTTCCGGACAGGAGACCAAAAAAGATCAAAAAAGTGTGTTTGAGCAAAACTACGAGACTAAGAATGGTGTCGTCATGGTGTCTATCCAGACGATGTTGAAAAGCCATGGTGTGTGGTTTTGACATTAAAAAAACATTTCGTGGAAGAGAAATAGACCAAAACCCCTTGTTTTTTGAGCTCCCTATTCAAATACACACCCAGGGTTGGTGTCTCTCCGTTGCGGAGGGTGGACTGTACCGAAGACGAGCGACATCGAAGAGAGCGACCCGGGCACCCACCAACAGAAACATGAGAAACGGAAAAAGAAAGCTCGAGGAAGCATATCCAGGCAAGGAGAGTATATATATATATTATATTATATATGGTATACACTGAATTGGCGAGCACATTCTTTTGCATTGGGATGGATTGAGCTTTACAATTCAACGCTCAAAGAACGCCAAATTCATGCACACGCTGGCTTTTTTGGCTTCCCCACTGCGGATGTCCACCGTCCGCCGAACACAACCGTTCACGAAAAACCATTCCTTTCCAGCTTGAGCCGTTCCAAAACTAAAAAGGACTTAAGAAACATCAAAAAGAAATACCCTCCGCCACCCCTCCTCTGTGGCTTTTTCCATGTCTTTCTTTGCCCGCCCTCAAACCATCCACCATCTGCGCCCATCTGCGCCCGCCCTCCGCCCTTCGCCTGAAAGACCGCGAAGCGTTTGGGGTGTTCCGACTCGAAGAGCCGCGCCATGCCGCGGCGCAAGAGGCCGACGTTGGCGAAGAACTCGTTCCAATCGTCCTGCGACCGACGTCGACAGGAGACCGTCCAGGAAGAAGAAGTTCGCGGTGGACGTCGCCGGTCTTGGTTGGTCCAGGTGGGTAGCACTTTGAAGGTGGAAATGGAAGTTGAAAAGGAAACAGGGTGGAGACACGTGGAACAAGGTCAAGATCGTGGTATACGTTTCTGTTGCCTGTGTTCCTCGTGATTTCTGCTGCGGACGTTGAGGACACCTCACGTGTGGTCACGTCTTCGCTACGAGACAAGATTTGTCGCTGCAGGTTCGTTGAGAACGAACAAATCACTGGAAGAAAGTGGTGAGAAAGGACAAACACATTAATACTACTACCTACTAGAATACATTAATTGCTACTAGTAGTAATGGCCTCCAATCTACTAGCTATGGCCTCCAACCTAGAAGCCTTTGTTGCCACATAAGTGGTGAGAAGCTTCCAACACCTGAAGTTGGAGGCCATCGCTCCTAGGTTGGAGGAGTGGTTGGAGGGTGAGAAGCTTCAAACTCCGGAAGTTGCAACATCTTCATTGGATCGTGAGACCCAGAGAGCCCGAAGAAGAGCCCGAAGACCCCGGAGGCCGTGCGGATGGTGACCCCCAAACCCACCCCGGCCGTGAACGGAAGAAAGAATTTGTGCCAGGCCTAATCCAATGACATCGGATATCACCAGTTATGATGGGTATGACATGATTTACGTTTCATTGAATTTCTTAAAATTAACGAGATATTCTATCTGAATAGAAATCATGTGGCAGGGAAATGCCTACATAGCCTGCTTACAAAAAAGCATGAATAAATATTGCAATACACGCCAAAATACTGTAAAGCTGTAAAACCTTATATATATCTATGTTTCCTTGATGTGACTTCTGACTTATAGTTAAAATAACTTCGAACTTCTTCGTTCCCGATCCACCCGCTTCGATGCGAGCTGCGTAGTTGGCCGCATCAGGCGGCAAGAAAGCCTCAGAGACAAGACACCGGTATGACCTTGTGTCCATCGAAAGTCCTTTGACATTGGAACACCATGGGTGTCAGTTACACCAAGTGGATAAACATGAAAACTACCATCCACTTGTGCTTCTCACTTGGGGTCTAACATGTCACAGCCGATCAATTCGACTGAAATCAGCCGATCTGACTCGGGGCTGGACAGCCCGACGGGCGGTTTTTATCTCGGTTTCTCCGGACTGTGGCAAAGCAAGTCTTTACAATGCTATATATCAAGGCTGGTACATCAAGAGTTGGTCTCACGATGCCGCGCTTGGTCTGATAAGACTCGTCGTGAGGTCTTGTTCTCCAGCTTGTGTAAACCTGGATTTTACCATACTGGGGCATACCCTAGGATTCCAGCCACCATTTATTTTGTACTATATGGTTTAATAGCCTTCACCGAAGAAGGCTGCCTTACCGGGCATTGTGACACTAGAAAACCAGGTCAACCTGTTTTCCATGGTCGAGCGGAAGGCGAGGGTTGAATCTGCGGCTTTCAGGTAGAGGCTAAGAAACCCAAAAACATTAAAAATACAAAAACAATATTAAATATTTAAATACATATATAAATACAACCCTGAAATACATTGAAATACAACATTTTTGCATGGTTCTACATCCTTATTGGCCCTGGTTCCCAAACAACATACTCAAATGAGGGCCATAATGTAAATAGCACCCACCAAGGCAATTGAATTTTGAGTCACCTAGCCGCTAGGGTATAGCATTCCATTCATCAGCTTCTCGTCCACCCCCTATGACTGGACACTGCCCAGACATGTACTAGGGGAGCATTGACCGCCAAAACATAAATGTTCCACGATGATGTCTTCATTGAGTCTTCACCCCTTCTGATCTTGAGTTCGAGGCCTCTCAAGAATGCAGGCTTGATCCACCGCGTCCGCGCACGCGCCTTCGCGCGGGCTCGGCTCTGGCTCTGGCTCGCGCCTCGTAGCCCGTGTGAAAGGTGGGCAGCTTCTCTCGCTCTTCAGGCCCCACACCACTGGCACGGTCCTGCGAGCCGCGAGAGACACCCAAGGTGACAGCTGGACCACCCCGCGAGCGAGACCAAATCTCGCTCGGTCGCACTGTGGAACACGAGAAATGACCCGTGACGTGGACGAGGTGATTTGGTGACTCAGTTCGATCGCTTGCATCAGTTCGTGGGGCAAGCCTTGCAAGTCTGGGGCACCAAGAAGCTCCAAGCTGCCATTCTCCCCCTCCAGTGGAGCTGCCAAGAGGAAACCAACGGGAAGCAAGAGGAAACTTAGCGGCCTAGCAATGGATCTTCGATCAATTCGAGAGACACGTCTCAGCATCGCACGCAGTGTTAAAAGCACTAAGACCTTGCAGTATTGATGTGGCTTTGTATACTCTCATGCGGACAGTCTTAAGCAGCTCGGTGCACGGCAGAAGCGGTGCAGCCGATCCAGGTCGGTATGACTTACTGTAATTAGTAATAGTAATGTGTGTGTTCCATCTCATTCACAAAATGACTTACTGTAATTCCTCAGTGCACGCTCATCAAGCAAGAGTGCATCATTCACATGGTCACATGCGAGGCTCAAAGGCCTATTCATCATCGGCAGAAGT